TTGAATGTAAATTTTTTCATTAGGCATTGTTCATTTATGTACTTTATAGAAATAATTCTTCCCACCCTGAGGAGCTGCAAATATATATGCACATACACACGTATGTACAATAGTCTTGCAGTTGGAAGCAAAATTATACAAAGATCTTTATTAAAATTTATAAATTTTGGATAAAACCATAAAGGAGCTTATTAAAGCACTTTATGTAAAATTTTAGGTGTACCTTCTCTTGCATAGCTTGACAAAATTCTGTTATTTTAGTCATTTATAATAGCGACTTAATAGTATTTTTCATTTTGTGCAGTAATCATCAAATCATTTGCTTAGCTCCTTTTGTCAGAAAGGTCTTGAAAAATAAGTTTAAAATAAGATCAATAGGTGGCTTTCAGGCTTTTGTTGTTTTCTTCAAAGACTTGTGACTTGGATAAATTGTCATAGAACCAGAAGAGATTAAGTTCAGGCATTTGTCCCCATGTCTGTCTGTCTCCCTTACAGAGTTGTAAAATGGAAATGTCAGTAGTCTACATGACAGTGTAGACTATTGGGCTATAGGAATGAATGAATGAAGTGTTATGATTTGCCAAATTTATCCTGGTCTCATTTAACTCAGGAGTTTTTTAGTCATAATAATAATAATAGGATTTTAGTCAAATCAAGGATAGAAATTTTTTAGAAAAGAAAGTTATTTCAGAATTTTCAAACATTTATAGTTTAATATCTAATTATTCCTTATTATTTTATCATTTCTTGATCAAAATATTTCTTGAATGCAAAAATGTGTAGATAATATGTGACTTTAATCGTGCTTGTCTTGTAACAGTCACTAAACTGATGGATCAAAATAGCTATCTCATTTCTCATTCTTTTCCTTTCTTCTAATAGATCAGATATATCTAAACACAAATAAAAAGCCCTGGCATTTTTCTTAACTTTAGTTTTAGTGAAAGAACATTGTATTACTTTCCACTGTTAGTATTTGCATCTTATTATTTAGTTTCAAGTAATGCTTTTAATTGTCCTTGGCTGGAACACAACAGATCTTTGAAGTGATATCTGGGTCTTGGTACAGGCACAAAGCCACCTCTGAGTTATGAGTAGAAAACTGAGACATACTTTCCCAGAGAAATATTAGGGTGTGGGGTTGGGTTTAGATTCTAACTGTTCTACTATAATAGATCCTTTGATTCGGCTGCCCACGGCAGACCGATAGTGTCTAAATGAACCTTTGACTGCAACATATTTACAAAGTACAAATTCTTGCTTTTCCTTATTTATTTGGGTTTCAAGACATGAACGTAGGGTAATGAAGAAGAATGAATGTGCTTATGATAGCACATTGCAGAAATATGATTTCTTATTTTCATCTGGAAGTACCCTGCCTCTGATATCTCAGGAATCTGTGAAGGGCACAGTATCTAGCCAGCTGTTCCTTTATGCTTCATAAAACTGAAGTCCATTCATATAGTGTAACTAGAAAATGTTCTTGTATGATGAAGCACAAATGTTTGCCTTCCATGTACACAGCACCACTCAGAAAGAAAAACATGTTCATATATTTGAACACAAGTTCTTGACTATAACTCATTTATAAGCTAAAATTGGCAATAGTCACTTAATAAATATTTATTGAATGAAAAACGTTGAGGAGTTTTGTGGTACCTTAGAGTATGAATAATTTAAGTGACATTTACTTGCTTAGAGATATGCTTACTCTGAACCTTTCAAATGCCAAAGAGTATAAGTGAAGCATCTTTAAACATAATAAATATTATGCGTGGAAACAGAGCCTTAGGACTGTGATGAGAATAAATTTAGCCAAATCTATGAAGCTTCACTTGGAGCTCTTTGAATTTCTAATATAAAGATTCATTGGTGGTGATTAAGTTTGCCTGCCTTGCTTTAAGAATAATTTTGTCTCTCTGGAGGGGATGCTGTTGATAGCTGAATGGGAGTGTTAATTTCATTTTAATGATGTTGAAAAATTGATTCAAATACAAAATCAATGTTCATTTAGTAGTGTTATCCGTTCAGGAGGATGTAGAAAATTAAACTATGTAATAACATATTATTGATGTTATAACAAAAGAATGAAATGACAAATTACCCTTACAAAATTCATTTAATATATTTTGATTACATACAAAGGTATGAGATATTTTTAGCGTATCTGTATCTTTCACTAAAAATTTATACAATGTTTAAAAGCTAGGGGAAAATATAACCACAAAGTTTTGCTACAATTTCAATGATTAATGGTTTTGAAGGTAAATAGTGACTGAGTGACATTTCTGTTGGTTTTCAAAAGTGCCCTGCCTACTCCCAGTTTTCTTTAGAGTTAGACAGGTTTAATTATTCAAGCAGATATCTTTAGCTTTAGTCAGGTCAATATGTTTCTTGGGATCAAAGAAAACATCATAAATGTAAGCCCATTGGGTCACTTTATATTGAATTGTCTAGTTTGACAAATGCACAGAGTAAAAAATTAAAACAAGTGAAATATACACATAATTCATAATAGCTGGATTAGAGATGATTGCTGGAGTGTTTTCCAGCACACACATGGTCCTGTGTCATCACAATAAATAAAACAATTTGATGGAGTTAGAGCTACCATGGAGACAAGGCTGGAAGGAGTTTCTAGAGTAGGTTAATTGAAGTGGGTAGAACAACTCTAAATGTGGGCAGTACTATTCCCAGGTCTGGGTTCCTCTTCTGAATAAAGAATATCAGTATTGATCACTTTTTCTTTCCTAACTGTAAATGCAATGTGATCAGCTTTCTCTTGTTACTACCAATACCCATTCCCCATGATAAAGGACTGTATCCCCTGAAAATATTAGCCAATGTAAACTTTTCCTTCCTTAAATGACTCTTGTTAGGTATTTTGTAACAGCAAGAGGAAAAAAAAAACTAAGATATAACCCAAAAAAGCCGAATCTAGACTTTACATAAAATTTGGATAAATTGAAACTTATTCAGAAATTGAAGGGTTTTTGTCATATATTCTAATTTAGTATTTGGCTAATTATATTATTCTGTGCTCTTTTGTTTAATGCCTGTGTTAGCATTACTTTTTAAACTATCCCAAGAAATAGTTTAACGTTTCAAGAAGAGATAGATGGCTAAGAAAGTGAAATGAGCACTTAAAGACCAGGATGAGAGACACAAAAGCGAAGGTGCAAAATTCATATTTCTAGGTGCTCTCAACGTCAATTTCAGAAAAAAGTCGTTCAATTCCATTGACTAGAAAAATGTATCTGTGGTTCAGTGAAATAAGAGAGGATGATGAGTCAGATCACAATATCGTGATGAACGCAAAGTGAGCTCACATGACAGACATCACAACATCCCCTGGAGACTAAATCCTGAGAACAAGTGACCTAAACCTTAAACACTAAGAGACTGAAGGCAGGAACTGAATGAAAAACTGAAAATTTGAATGAGAACCACGAAGATTATTTATGTGAAATACTTGAATGAGAAAATTACAGCTTGAGAACAAGCCACTGAAATGTAATGAGAATAACAAATTGAGATTAGTGCAAACTGAAGGTAATTGATACATGACTAAACATGACTTTCTGATAAATTGCAACAGAAATAACAGTTTCGTGAAAGTGCTGAGTCATTTTAATCACAGAAAATCTCACAGCACTGGCTCCATGTATATGCCACTGGGTCCTTGTCATGGAATAGTCAAAATAAAGGGCAATATTTTTGCATATTATTTAATTAACTATGTCCATTAGGCAGACTTGTAATAAACTAACCACGATATAAAAGAATAATTCTTCATAGAATAATATTCTGCACAGATAACTATGAAATTAAAGATTGGATTTTAATACGATTATAGAAATATAGATATTTGAAGCAGGTTTTGACAAATACTGATATGTATCTTTAAGTTATCAGTAACTGAATAATATTTCATGATGGAACCTTTAATCCTATTGAAGACATTACATTCTCAAAGTATTGTTCTAGTTTGTATTTCTATTGGGTCTGGATAAATAGTTTCAGTAAAGTATTGCCAACTAATAAATAATGGTTAATTAACTTCTACTGTATTATAATTATATTTCCTGTTATTGGCAAATGTCTGCAACACAAGTAGAGAGACAAAATGTGAAGTAAATTGAGAAGCCTGTGTTTTGAAACAGTAGAAATACATCACTAATTGGTAGCTAGAGCAATCAGTAGAAATGTATTGATCATAAATTGGTAGCGGTAGGAAGCAGAAATATAAAAACCATTAAAATAATGTAATAAATAGTTTAGGGAGTGGTGGAGGAGCAACTCACAAAAAGATGAGAATAAAATGAAATTATAATACTTTCAAAGACTATGCTTTTAGAGTGATGATTTTATGTCACTGAAAATGTTACTATGCAGCTAACAATATGTTATTTATGGAATCCCTTCCTAACAGCTGTTGAAACTCGAAATTTTCAAATTTTACAAGTCATTTAAATGTTCCGTATTACATATGAATGGGAAGATAGACTCTCAGTTTCTTGGCAGGTGCCAAACAATCTGTTCTCACCTAAAATAAGCTTATATTCAGCCAGAGAAATACTCTTCCTCTTAAATTCTTCTTTATGAACACTAGACACATAGCTATCATGAAAGGAAACACATAATACAACTTTCATTTTGTTGTACCAAATCAGAACTTCATTTGGCTTCAATAATGCATCATATTGCCTTCAATACTACATCTAACTATATTATATATAAAATATAATTTTGAAATCACTGCTTTGATCAGTAGCTTAAATTTTGCAGTTTATTGTGTAGACAAGTTTTATACTCATTTGAAGCTTCAATTCATTATCACGGTGAAACATGAGCACTGAGTTGTTTGCCATAGTTTCAGGAAAAATTGCTATATACTTTTATTTCCCAATTTATCTCTTCTTAAATTCCTTATAAGAGAAAAGGATGAAGCATCATAATAAAGTGTGTGAAAAAGGAGAAAAATTAATTTCCAAACCTACTTTTTCTTCAGTCTTCTGTCCTTTTCTGCTTGGGTTCCAAGTTTGCCTAAGCCCAGGGACTCCTGTGCTGCAGCTTCAGTCTCCATAAAACCCCCTGGGAAGAAAAATCAAACAAACAAAATTAAGATCAAGATAGAGGCATTTGTCCATTCTGAAGTTATCATCTCAAAGGTTTATTGGTGCAACCACTCAGAAACTTTCTTACTTTTCAGATTGCCCCTTGTATTGCATACATCAAAGGACACAGTTACACATACAAATGAACTGGGAAAATCAACACACACAAAAAAAGTACCAACCGGTGTTCATTCATTTGCACAAGCACAGTTGTGGAAGATGACATGCATGTGTACCTACAAACCCTTGTAGAGTATTCAATGCTCAAGGCCATTCTGTTTGACTTCTCTAGTGAGAGGTCAGAGTGAAGACCTGGCAAAGAGGTCTTTTCTGAGACTGATACTCAAACCCAGGACCATGCATGGAGATAACCTAGAACCCCTGCATAGATGTAACCCATGGTAGCTCAGTATCCAAGTGGGTACCCTCGCAAGGGGAACAAGGAGTGTCTCTGATATGAACTCAGTGGCAGGTTCTTTGACTACCTCTCCCTGACGTGGGGGGCAGCCTTACCAGGCCACAGAGGAAGACAATGCAGCTACTCCTGATGAGACCTGATAGGCTAGGGTCAGAGGGAAGGGGAGGAAGACCTCTCCTATCAGTGGAATAAGGGAGGGGCATGGAAGGAGACGGGGGAGGGAGGGTGTGATTGGGTAGAAATGAGGGACGGGGATACAACTGGGATACAAAGAGAATAAACTGTAATTAATAAAAAAGTTAATTTAAAAAAGAGCAAAGACCATGAATAGCATGCTTGTCATATCTCACTTACAGTGAGAAACAGTCTGCTGAACCGAAAACTAAATGTATGTTTTCAGACCCGGTTTAAAGAATGCATAGGCCTGTGTTGGCTGCTGAAGGATCTGCATGTAGAGCTCCTGGAATTCAGTGAGTACAGCATGCTGAGTCTTCTAGCCTTGCTCAGAAGCCTCATCTTTTCTGAGATAATTTTTGCTTTGATTTTTTTATAAGCCAAAACATAAGTTTATTGTTTTATCTAATCTACCAAAAATTATGTGAACTAGTGTCAGCATTAGCAGAGTCAGAAATTATAGTATGTATGCATAGTCTTGGTGGGAACAAAAGAAATTTCATGAGTATCAGTGATGGAAAGACACTTTTTATAATGTACTTATTTCACTCCAAACCCCTAAATGAATTTGGTTCATAAATTGCTAATTACAGTAAAAATGTGGGATTAATATTGTGTTTTTCTTTTTCATTGATATTTATTGTTTGAAAAAGAAAACACAAAGTCACAGTCAAAGAAAATTATTCATATTTTCATGTGGATGAAGGTATACATATATTTTAAATAGAAGGGATATAAGTTACATTTAAACATAATCTTCAAATAATACTAATCTGATGCTAATAATAACTTCATTCTTAACAAATACCATCCTCCAAATTTAACCAATATACCAGAAAATAACCATTGAAGACAACTGTCACTACCTTTTTTGTATATTTTTCTTGTATAAAGGTTAAGTACTTGAATATGTTATGGTTTCTCAATTATTGCCAGAAAGAAATGGTAAATTGGTTACTACTGTTTTCCATAATTTATTTTAGCAAATACTTTGTTAAGCTGGAGACTATTAATACAGAAAATTGCTGTGAATTAACTTAACTTTTACCTTGATAATCTTATTACTGGGCTAGATAATTGTAAAAAGTCTCATTTATTCAAAACACATCAGTCACTGTCCAGATTTAATTCAGTGTAATAGAGATAGAAGGCTAAATTTATTTTATTCCTTCTATTCATGTGCAATTAATGCTGCAGGAAAGATTTTTATTACATAAGAGACTCACTGTGGCTCTTATTTGGAAAACCATTGGGTGGAGAACTGAAAGTCTCTTAGGGAACATTTTCAAATCTGAAATTTTCCATTATGCATAGTGATAGAATAATGTGGCTTCATTTCTCTCACTTGTGTATGTGCCTTAGTATATATCCAAAAATTATCATTTATAATCACAATAAAAAATGTTCTTTTAAAGTGGAGATGAAGTGAATGATTGACTTAAAACTCATAAAATTCTTGGTTGATCCATATGGTTTCAGTGCATATTGATGAGACAAATCTACTTGGTAAGTGATAAAACTCTTTCAATATCAAGGTTATTGGATGAATCAGGCATTTTGGTTTTCAAAGAAATAAAAGAACAATTAACTTGTGATTTAAAGTTTTTCATCAAGAATTCAACTTTTTAAATAAAACATGATCATTTTTAAACAATCAGCATTTTGGAAGAAAAAAATAATTCTACAGTTAGACTGCAAACAGGTTTTGCTGCTTCCTGAGTTTGGAGGAGTTGATATGACTGTAACTATAATTTAGCACAGTTTCATATATTCTGATCTAAAAATGGAGTCTCAGAAAATAGAAAACAAAGCTTAGGTTTATAAAAGACTGTGTATTTTCTACATTTTAAATGATACCTTAGTATCCCAATAAAATGCAATTTTGTTGAAAAAATTATTGATTTATTGTTTTCTCATCAAATTCAATTAAACTATAAAAAGTATGTGTAAAGGACAATCAAAATAATTTTAAAGAGAAAAAGTTAGGTTATAGAACATAAGATAAGCATATATGCTAAATAAAATGTTAGTAAAGGAATGATCCCTCTGTTAGCAAGCATCTTAATAACACAACTGTGGGTTTTACTACAATATATTAAAAATGACCAATAATTTGTTAAATGCCATGATAAGTCAGCGAATTCGATAAAACAAACATTGTTGACTGGTATGTTGATTTATATGTGAAAACAGCTTTTTATTTCCTATGTTATATTTCTATTGACGAAGAGATTCTTCTTCTGGGAAATAGAAATCCAAGGAGGATTTGACTGTCACATTGAATTATGATATTCACATAGTCCCATGTACATCGGCTTTCCACAGCTGATGCTTTGTATGGTTACACTCCATGGATGTCAGGGAAGGGATGCTGAATGAATTTGCTGTCACAAACCTGCAAGCATGAACATTGTAAGTAGAAATTCCTTGGTGCTATAGCAAAAAATTATCCCTAGGTGATGGAGAATCACCTACATGTCATCATTCCATTAACTGAGTAACTGCAGAACATACTTAGGAATCTATCACTCTAGCTAACACTTACTATTAGAAGAAATTTAATTTTTTTCCTAATAACTTAAGCCTGAAGAGGAATATACAGAAAGCTCTCTCTCTCTCCCTCTGTTTATCTCTTCCCTCTCTCTTCCTATCTTTCCCTCCCCAAGCCTTTCTCCACAGTGATCAGGATATAGGATGCAAAGCTCCTTGCTTCTGCTCCCCTGTCACACTTGTCTGCTTCCCGCCATGATGTTCATGGACTGAGCTTCTAAAGCTATGATCAAGACCCCAATTAAATAAATGCTTTTTATCATAAGAGTTGCCTTGGTCATGGTGTGTCATCACACCAGTACAACAGGGACTAAGACAATATTCTTCCCAAAGTGCCAGTGATATATATTTTATTTCAGAAATTTCAATTGTTATTGTTTTGATATTTTTGTGTATGAATGTGCACATGTGCCTTTTTCATGGTTATATACTTAGCTGGAGTCATTTCAAAAGCACTAATTCATATTTCCTATTATTAGTCATTGATAATATTTTATCCTACCATGCAGAGAGATGTAACCCACCTAGAACCCCTGTTCAGAGGTAGCCCATAAACAGCTGATTCCCCATGTGGATTCTCTAGTTAGGGGGAAAGAGATACTCTCCGACATGAACTTGGTTGTCTGCTCCTTGATCACTTTGCCCTGTTGGGGTGACCTTGCCATCCCACAGAGGAAGAGTATCTAGGCAGTCCTGATGGGACCTGATAGAGTAAGGTTAGATAGTAGGGGAGAATGGTTTCCCCTATCAGTGGACTAGGGGACAAGAATAAGGGAAGAAGAGAGAGGGAGGGGGGAACAGAAAGGAGATGAGGGAGGGGGCTACAACTGGGATACAAAGTGACAACATTGTAAATAATAATAATAAATAATAATATTAATAAAATAAGTTATCCTAGACAAACTTCTAATGTTTATTTCTTCCTCCCAATCTTATAGATATTCTTTAGAGTTGCCAGGGAGAAACTGTGATAGCTTTTGCTTGTCCTTCATATTTTGTTCCCTTGCACTATGTTATTTAGTCTTTTGGTGTATTTAGGCTTCATCTCTTTCCTCCAGAAGGTAAATTTTAAATTCACATATTTAAGATTTCGTATTTAAGTACGCTCTAAAATGATAGCACATTACTCTATTTCTTTTGCCCGGTTCATCTGGGTACGTGTGTTTGGTGTCCATACACACTCTTGTAGATGTGTGCACGTGTGTATAGATGTGCATGCATATGTGTGTGTGTGTGCATGTGTTTGTGGGTGTCTTCCCTAATCATCCTCTTTTTAATCTCTTTATTGTCTGTCAGTCAGTGAACCTAAAATTTCCTGATGAAGTTGGGATGGCTGGTCAGGAAGTAAAAAGTTTTTACCTAATTTTGGCCCTACCAGCACTGGAGTTGCACACACTCGCTGTCACACTGACATTTCCATATGCTCTGGGGATCCGGATTCAGGTCCCCATAGCTGAGCATTTGGCATTTTATCAAGTGAGCCATAGGCCTATCTCCCTGGATTGTGGTCTCTGTTCTGAAAAGGGCTAAGACTTTGTCTACTCATCAGTAAAATATGGACGACAATCACAGAAATTGATTCACAACATTAGTGCAACTTCATTATATTAGCTTTAAAACACACCAGCTTTCAGTTAGCTTTAGTCAGCTCCTCTAGTTTTACAAAGCTGACTAAATTGAAAGCTCACTAGGGATGGAAAAGAACTTACGGGTGAGAAATGAAACCCAGGACACTCAGAAGTGACAAATCCAAGCGGTAGCAGAAAATGAAAGTCCCATACTTACGAAGCTGCCCGAGTCGAGCCTTTTCTTTTTTACCAAACAAGCGCCCGATTGAAGACTTGATTCCTTTCTTCTTAGGGGCTTTGTGAAGTGAGTCTTGGCTGCTATTGGCACTGCCAAGCCCAAGGCTTTCTGGCTCAAGAGAGGCAGATAAACTGCTGCAAAACACAAAAGAGGAAAGATGCTCGTTTAGGATGCACTGGCCACAAAGTACACGAGGTCTCTTTCCTTTATAAATGACAAAGGAAGGAGAAAGTAGATTTTGAATTTGATTTTTCCCTTTTTTTCTCATCTTTCTCTAAGTTATTGAACTGTATCTTTTTTGGTTCCATTGGGACTTCAAATTTTCAATAGAAATGAAATATCATTTTGTTCCAAACATCCTTTTCCTCTTATTCCTGTACACTGTCAAATAATCAGCCACCTTTTCCGCAACTGAATAACTGCATGGTTAGTGTCTTTTTGTTGAGCATTTGGCTCCTTATTTTTCTTTTCAGAGTTTTTTTGTTTCTTTCTAACTCATGGCAATCGTTAATTATGAAATTGAAGTGGCTAATTTAATCTTTGTCTTCATGGGTGGCCCTTTTAGCTTTCTTTCTTTCACTATCACACATTTGCGACTTTATTATAAATGCCATCTTATTGGGATCTAAAAGCGCCACATTACAAATGCTCATCACTGTCTTACACATCTATGACAATCAATAAAATAGTATTTTAGTTCCACGGTAAACTGAAATGACTTCCAAATGGTTGGTCAGCTCTCAATTCTGATCAACATGTCTGACATATTTTCGAAACCATTTGTCATGAAGCTACTAATTGGAAGATGTGATGATCGTTAGGTCATTCTGCTTGTGTTCAGAAATGCCTCTGCTACTGAGAACCAGTGAGATGTCCAGTGTGAAAGATGAACTAAATGCTGAGACATTTTCCTGCTGTTGATTATGGAACTCAATTTAAAGTTTTCAGCATTTGGATGGAACATTTTAAAGAATCATATGGCATATAAAATGCTTCCTCAACATTTTAAGAAAAAAATATTTTGCTCAGTGTTTGCTTTAATGCTAAGGATTTCTTATCGGAGGACTTCGATCCAGCACAGTAGCATGTGATATGCAACACATGTGGCCCAAGAATAAATTTTTCAGAACTTAATTTCCCTTACAGTACCCATTTTTAGTCTTGTCCTAGAAATCCTATAATAATCTAGGACGAGTCACAAATCTAAGAAGAAACGTGTTCTCAATATATGAGTGATTCTTATTTGCTTATTGGCTGGTAACAAAACACAAAGATAAATATATTTGCTTGTTCATTTTAAAAGTAAAGTTTGATACATGCTTGGAAATTTTCATGTGTCACAAGAGGTATGGAAAAAGAGAACACAGAAACAGCATGATAGAGAATTATATTTCAAGTGAAGTTATGCACATAATTTTATTTTTAGTGATGTGTCTATATGTATGTCTGTACATGTGTCATGTGCACATGAGTGAAGATGCCTGCAAACAGTAGAGGGTGTTGGACCACTTGGTGATAGAGTTATATGTGTCCAGTCGCTGCCTGAATTCTGTGCTGGAAAGGAGACTCGGGTTATCTGTACTCTTAGTGACTGAGCCATCTCTTGATTCTTGTTTGTCTATAAACTATGTATCAATTTATTTGACAACAGTGAAGGAAGAGAAAGAATTGGGGGAAGAAAGTCTTCAATGTGTTCCCCGCTTGAGTCTTACCTCCGGGCGTCGTTGTGGTAGGAAGAAGGGAGTGTGTGAGTCATTCTAATGGCTCTGGGCGTTGGGGGAGGAGAAGTTTCACATTTAATTGTTGCTTTATCCTCCCGTCCATCTTCTTCCACCACGGCAATCTAAAAACAGAAGCAGAACATTCAATGAGCTAATTACAATTTCAAGTGAAATTGCCTCAAAGGAAGAATCTTTAAGGTAAAAACACTAGAGTAATTCTAACACACACATATATGCCTTACACAGGCAAGTTCTTATTATTAGGGGTCTTATTTTCATAACTATTTACAATTAAAGTTAATATGTCTTGAAACTATCAAGCTAATTACATGAAAAATACGGTTTAAGCCTAAACAAAGCCGTACATCGATAAAAAGTTATTCTTGCTATACTTGGATACACACACTTTTGTTTTCAGTACTGCAAATTGAACCCAGCACCTCTGACAGTAGGCAAGCACGCCACGGAGCAGCGCCGACAGCCCGTGAAGATATGCTCTTTACAGAAGGCCCTAACGCATTTCAGGAAATTCACTGAAGAAAAAGATGTTACGCCTAGTAAGACATCCTTAAGCATGGGAGTAGAAAAGGTAAGGACAAGTTGGCAAAATACGGTTTATCATATAAAGTGGTTTAAGTTAGTCAACATAATGAAACATATATGAAGAATGTTTAAAGTGTGTAGTGGGTTATAAGAAAGATTTTTTTTCCCAGTGAGAAAAAAATTAAAGGTAAGAATATAAATTCTGAAAATTGTTTTATTTCACTACAAGCCATTGGAAAATTTTGAAGATAAGCATAAAATAAGAACCAGAAAAGGCAAGAAGCATGTTAGTAAAGACCTATGTTGTTCAGAAACCTGAATAATTCCAAAAAAATCCTTCATTTTTTTTGAAGAGAGAGAGAGAAAATGGTGATTAAAAAATAAGTTGGCAAAAAAACAAATCAGTGTTATCACTGCATAGTACAACATGCTTCAAGAGATCAAAGTTGTAGAAAAACTGCTACTGCTCTATGACTCTGGAAATGTACCTGGGAGTTTCTTCTGTGGCTGAAGCACACACTAAAAGCTGTACTCGGCAGAAATGTCTTACTTGTTTCTACATTAAACACACTGTTCACAAAAGTTTTTATAAACAATGAAGAACTCTTGCCTTCCAAGAACTTAATGCTATTTTTTTCTAGCATTTTGTCTCCTTGGCTTAGATTAGTCTTACAGTTCAGAGAGACCCCTGCATATACTAAATTCCCTCCAATTTAATTCATGTAGTTGTAATATAGATTTCCTTCAGGAAACAATGTTTTCTGGATTCAGATGTGTTTTAGCATATACTGACTACCAAATCTTCTAAAAAATGAAGATTTATCTATTTTTGTTTCATTTGCATGAGTTTTTTTCTGCATGTATGCATATGTAGATTCCTGCAGAGGCCTAAAGAGGCCGTTGCATGCTCTAGAAATAGAGTTATGGATGTTGATGAGCCACCATGTGGGTGCTGGAAGTCAAATTCCAGTCTTCAGTCAGAGCAGCAGATATTCCCAATGTCTGGACCATCTTCAATTCCCTGACCACCTCACCTGGTGAAAGTCAGACAGCCTGCTGGGCTGAAACTCTGAAATCTTTCCCAGCTGATATCTAGTGCCTGAAAATTTGCTCTTCTCATTTATCTAATAAGATGGAATTTTAATACACAATCAAGATCACTGTCTCTTATATTGTATTCATGTCATATTTAATGTTTTGGTTTTGTCTCATAACCAAGAAAATGTTGGTGTTCCTCTGTCTGTTTGTCTGCCTGCCTCCTGCTCTCTGCGAACGTGTGTGTGTGTGTGTGTGTGTGTGTGTGTGTGTGTGTGTTTGTGGTCTTGGGTGTCAGGGTCAGAGGACTACTTGCATGAAATTTTTTTTTCATTCTTTCCTCCATGTGGGGTCTGGTGCCTTCATATTGGGTAGCATATGTAGTAAATACCTATCCTGCCTGAGTCTTGAGTTATCTAGTTGCCCTCTGCCATCTGGAGATTTTTTTTCTTCCATAGCTAACTAATATGTAGAGATAGTAAATTACTTTGTAAGTAACCTTGTACGAAAACTGATCAGCTCAGAGCCGGTGCTGGGATTCATCCTCTGTAGCAGATGTCTATACTCCTGATGTAATGACAGCCTGCCACACTGCCCAGGGCCAGGTGTTAGACACCCCTGCCCACCTGAACTCATTCTATCAATCCTACAACTTACTTTACCTGGCTTGTTGTCATTTCCCGAAAGAGAACTCAAAATGATTCCTAGCTCTGTTTCTTCTCACTACTACCTCCTGGCTACCCTGGTGCTTTTTCAGGGCACAGAGTTCCTCTTCTTTTGCAACTGGTAACGAACTATTGAATTTTCTTTGATAGGTGTACCAAGATATACTGGTTCATCATCACTGAGTAACAACAAATGCAACATTAAAAGCAATCAGGAGTGACAAAAGTTATAAAAAAGTGAAAACAACCAGTGTTGCTCTAACAGTTTATCTTAAGATGTCTCACTCTGCCACGGGTGGCTTATATAAGTTAATTTTCATAATTCAACCTTCAATTAGAAAAGAGAATTAATACAATTTTAAAGTATTTTTCTTGCAACTATATTTTGAAATTACAACACATAGTTACATCTATAATTATTCCATTCTAATAAAAGAGTTTAAATAACAGTATTTTAAATGCTTTATATAACAAAATGATACCCAACTAATAAACACATAAAAGTTATTTACAGTACCTTTCTCCGATGTTTCCTTAGGTCACTTGGCTGCAACAGGCAGTAATAAAAACAACAAAAAAGGGAACTAATTAATGATTAGCATTTGATGATGTTACAGTTTTTTTCAGTATCTAACAAATTGTTCACTAGATTTCCATATAAGCAGAGCATAATGTATATTATTACACCTGATGACTAAAACTCAGGGTATTGACCATAACTTTGAGCTATATTTTGTTGAGGTGAATTTTGATTAGTTAATTATTATTCTGATTTCACATACTTGTCTACTATTTATATATATTTTAGATATATACTCTCCTAATGATCACAGAGAAAGATGAAATGCCTGAAAAAGGCATTTTTAAAGTTCTTTTTATCTTATGTAGATTTTATCGCTTGCACCTTTTCATGCTATAGAATTTGAATAGGAATAATGTTCCAAACACATATAAATAGTTTTGTTTCAGTTCCCAATGTCAAAATAAAACAAAATAATACATAAACTTTCTATATAAAATAAAATTTTCATGATGGTGAACTAAAACCCTTTGAGAATAAAATAAACTTGGATAACTGCTTTTCCAATGTTGAAAAACATGTATTTCTATACATATGTAAATTAGATAGACTCATAAAGGCATACATATATTTTTATATAAATTAACTTTAAAAAGAAGTATTTTTCCATTATGAACTATACTGCACATTATTTTAAAAAATTACTATTAACATTTAGACATTGTATTGAACTTCTCAATTCAGATAGGAGGGGCAATATACACAGATAGATGAGGGCAGTATGTACTTTCATAGTCAACCCAAGGTCTTCTGACTATAAATACTACATAAAATCCAGGTGAATCTACAACATCATTAAGTTTTCTTCACTTAACTATAGTTGGTTAGATTTTACAGGGTAAATCTGTTTGTAGCTCAATTAGTTTCTGCCAATAAACTGTTTTATTTCAATTGGAATTATATAATTTTAATCTTCATTACAGAAAAAATATTTTACTTCATTTTTACAATGATTTCAATTTATTCAACAAATGTCAAGAACAAAAATTACATCATTTTAGAGTTAAGCAAATTTGAGAAAAACCCAATTTCCCTTTAATAGTCATTTTTTAGCACAGGCAATTTATCCATGCTTTCAAAGCTTTAGTTATATCTTCCATTAGCTGAGAAAGCGTTCTCTTCCTGTATGGTGTATGGGACATTCAATGACCACACGTTGAGGCATGCAATAGTCATTAATATCAGAGCTTTCCTATATTACTTTTTAATTAAAATCTATTCACTTTGTATCCCAGCTGTAACCTCCTCCCTCATCCCTTCCCAATCCCATTCTCTCTCCCTCTTCCTCTCCCATGGCCCTACCCAAATCCACTGATAGGGAAGTTCCTCCTTCCCATCCATCTGAACCTAGCCTATCAGGTCTCATCAGGATTGGTAGCATTATCTTCCTCTGTGACCTGGTAAGGGTACCCTCCACCCCCTAGGGGGAGGTGATCAAAAAAACAGCCACTGAGTTTATGTCACAGACAGCCATGTTCCCCTTAAACTAGGGTACCCACTTGGAGACTGAGATGCCATGGACTACATCTGTGCAAAGGTTCTAGGTTATCTCCATGCATGGTCCTTGGTTGGAGTATCAGTCTCAGAAAACACCCCTGTTTCCAGATATTTTGGTTCTGTTGCTCTTTTTGTGGAGCTCCTGACCCCTTTGGGTCTTTCATCTCCCCCTTCTTTCATAAGATTTCCTGCACTTTGCCCAAAGTTTGGCCTGGGTCTCACCATTTGCTTCGATACCCTGCTGGGTAGAGTCTTTCAGAGGCTCCTGTGGTGGGCTCCTGTCCTGTTCCCTGTTTTCTCCCTCTTCCGATCTCCATCCCATTTGCCTTTCTGAGTGAGAACTGAGCATCCTACCCAGGGTCCTTCTTGCTTAGCATCCTTAGGTGTACAGATTTTAGTGCATTTATCCTATGTTATATGTATAATATCCACGTATAAGTGGGTTTATACCATGTGTGTCTTTTGGCTTCTGGAATACCTCACTCAAGATGATCTTTTCTAGTTTCATTCATTTTTCTGAAAATTTCATGATCATAGCAACTTTATTCATAAGAGCCAGAATCTGGAAACAACCTAGATGTCCCTCAACTGAGGAATGGATACATAAATCGTGGTGCATTTACACAATGGAATAGTACTCAGCAATGAAAATCAAGGAAATCATGAAATATGCAAGCAAATGGATCGAACTAGAAAAAAATCATCCCATATTACTTTTAAAATGCGGCCCTTTAACTTGCTTTCCGTTCTTTAATATCCAATATCTTTAAATAGCTAAATGTAACAACAAAAGAAAAAATCAAAAAGGAACTATGAAAATGCTTATATTAAATATAAAAATAATCAAGGAAGAACTGATGGTATTGGAAGCATTTCTAGAAAGTATATATTACAAAATTATACATTTTTATCTTGCTGTAGTATATATACTATTTTTGTTACTAGCTATGTTTTTAAAGGCACTGGTGTATTTTCTACCTTCTAAAAGATGCTTAATGGCTTCAGTCCCTCATATTTCTAATGTGTATTTACATCCCTGCTTTCCTAGTGAGTTTGAGAAATTTTTGTCACCGTTAAGAGCTACTGTTCATTCAACCAATAAGGTGATTGATTAATGATGATAACTATAACAAATGGCTGTTGTGCCAAACCAATTCATACATTAACTACATGTGTTAATAAGCAATAAAGTGCACAGAAAACCAGATGAGAGGAAATATCCTGTAGTGTTAGCTAAAGGACAAATAATCCTAACAAGTCAAGTTTCTCTTGATACAAAATCATACCAGGGTCATGACTCCCATGCGGTCCATTTCCCTGGCAGGGCTTCTTGGTGTGAGCTTTGGCGTTGAGTGTCCACTTGGGGGAGATGAGCTGGCCAGTGATGAAGCTGTAACAGAGGCAGTGATGGAGGTACCTGGATGAACCCTTGCCAAATTCAGACCTTCCAAGCTTACACTAGCCACTCTATTTTCAATTTCTTCAGCACGCAGTTCTGTAGATTCCTTTTCTTCTTGAATTAGCCTAGAAGAGAGAATTAATTCTTTTCATCATGAGATCTCTCAATGGCAATTTAATTTCTCTTAAAAAATGACTCAGTTAAGTACTGTGAAAATTTTATCTCAATCCAAGCATTTTTATTTTCTGTAGAGATTGGACAGCTTTAAACTTCATAGAATTACCAGTTATGGTTGAGAAAAATCTGTGTTTTTTTCTTTCAAATTATTATGGTGTATATTTAAAACTTCAAGTTCTACATCTTTAGTTGCATAATGGAATTTTCCACTTGAACACCTCTTCTGTATATAATGTGTAATTTAAAACATTATCATTCATACTATGAAATAATTCATAATTAAAACATCTTCTATGTGTTTCATTGGCTCTGAATTTTAAAAATAATGAAGCCAGGCAGGGTAGTGTATGCCTATAATCCCACTTGTTGGAAGAAAAGGGGCGGTAGTTATAATAATACGGTCAAAGCCAACTTGGGTGACATAATAAGTTTAAGAAGAGCCCAGACACTCTCACTCTCTCTCTCTCTTTTTCCCCTCTCTTTCTCTCTCTCTCTCTTCTGCTATACACACCCACCAACACACGTAGTCAAAAACCCAGAATGCAAAAAAATAGAGTATTCAAGCTATTCCATTAAATTATCTTAATTATCTTTCATATATGTTAAGCATTCCACTTTTAAGGAATGTACATGCATGTAAAAGTCTACATACTTCCTAAATATTAGAAAAAAATTATTGGCCTTTCTGATTTACCAAGAATATAAATGTGCTATTAAAATTGTTCATGATTTGATACTAATGGATAGTTTCTCTAGTATTAGGATTTTCTGTGTATTTTATCGCTTATTTATTTTTATTTACCACACAGCTTTTTGTGATAGGTAACATTAATAATATCATTATTAGTTATGGAAAAAAAATAGCCCAAAAAGGTGATAGAAGTTTTTGAAAGCCAGTCAGAATGGAGGAATCTAAATATACATTAGAAATGTGAATGATATAAACAAACTATTAACTATACTTTAACTTACATCACAGATATTTTCTCAGGTAGAAACAAAAATGAAATCATGAAAATTTCAGGTTAAACACCAAGAAGCCAAGAAATTCAATTAAAAAAAAATGAAGTCAAAGCTAAACAGTGAATTCTCAACAGAGGAATATGGAATGCCAGAGAAACACTTAAAAAAATGCTTAATCAACATTCTTAGTCTTCAGAAAAATGCAAATCAAAACAAACCTGAAATTCCACTTTACATCCATCAGAGTGGATAAGATCAGAAACTCAAGTGACAACACATGCTGGAGAGGTTGTGGAGAAAGGGGAACGCTCCTCCATTGCTGGTGGAAATGTATCCTTGTGCAACCACTTTGGAAATCAATCTGGCACTTTCTCAGACAATTAGGAATAGTGCTACCTCAAGATCCAGCTATACCACTCCTAGGCATGTATTTGAAATATGCTCAACTATACAACAAGGACATTTGCTCAACCATGTTTGTAGCAGCTCTATTTGTAAATGGCCAGAATCTGGAAACAACCTAGATGACTGTGAACTGAGGAATCGATATAGAAATTGTGGTACATTCACACAATAAAATACTACCTAGGTAAATGCTTGGAACTAAAACACATTATACCGAATGAGATAACCCATACCCTGAAATATAAGCGCTGCATGTGCCTTCTTATTTGTGTATCTTAGTTTCAAAGCTTCAGATGTGAGGTGTGTGTGTTAGCTTGACAACCCCTGATATAAGAAAAATAAGAAGGGTCCATGAGGGAGAAAGGGAAAGTTGTGGGAGAAAATTACTTGGGTAGATGGGAGGCAGAGCAATACACAGAGAAGAAGGGGTTCAAAAAATAAGACGTAGGATGTTTTAAAAAACATAAGAAATGATTTTTTTATGTTTGCTTAAAATTGTATGTTGGTGTTTGTGTGTTTATAATTTAAAATAAGGTAGGTGACAATGATCCCTCCAAAAGCTATATATTATCTCTAAAAAAAAAATGTGAAAGAGGGTAACTTCCTTTTGACTAACATGTTGGCTTTTGCTGATGCCCTTGATTGCCTTTCAAAACTTGAAGCTTATACCCAACAGCTAAAAACAAGCAAACAAACAAACAAACAGTTTGGACAACCTGCTTTTAGTGAACTGAGCTGGAACTGACCATGAAGCCTCTTCCCTTCTAACTCTCAGAATGAGCTTCCAGGGGAGAAAGAAATCAATAGTTCTACCCAGCTGGAAAACCTCTGGACAACAATTACCAGAAAGACAAAATATGTCATAAGGTGTAACAGTCTTCTGTCTGAACTTCAGACTCTCTCAATAGGAAGGTATTTATGTCTGGTACTATAAACCTATCCCCCAAACCTTGACCTGGTGAGAACCTTAACCTTAGAGGAGAACCTACATTCTACTTCCTAAAGCAGAAGAGTGTCTGCCTACATTCTAAATACTTATCCTTAGACTCACAGATAAGGATAGCTCTTACCCCTCACCAGTGATTCTTAGTTTTGGAGAAGATAGAGGCTGTTAGAGAGCCACAACTACTCCAAATGCAAGGAATACTAAATATTGGTTGTACCGTCCCAACTGATACAGGTACAAAACAACCCCTTCTCAAAAGTAAGGTTCAGGGAGCATCAAGGAAGAAAGGGTGAGAAGAATAAGAGAGCCAGAGTAACAGATTGTCTTATGTTAGATAGTTTCCTCCATAAAGCACAGTGATGTTGCACCAATGAAACCTCAAGCATATGGTTCCTTAAATAAGACCTGAAAGATGACAATACCAATTGATGTATCAAGGAGGTCAGGAGAAATATCCCAATATTACAATCCTAGATGAAGAGATACAGACAACTAATAGTTGCAGAGAGAAGGTGACTCAGATTTCTCCATGGACTGGTTTTTTAACATGTTATCCAATCCCAAGTAATCACCTCTATACAACACACACACACACACACACACACACACACACACACACACAAAGAGAGAGAGAGAGAGAGAGAGAGAGAGAGAGAGAGAGAGAGAGGAGACAGAGACACATGGAGAGAGTAGGCATGAGGGAGGCTGATATTCTGTATATCTAATAAAGCATCAGGGGATGCCAAGACTGATAGTTTGAGAAACATGTTTTAAGGATTAAAATTTTTTTGAATTATTTTTTAAAATTGATTCTCTTAATATCACTTGCAGCCCCTCACTCATGTCATCCTGGTCCCACCCTCCTTCCCTCTTCACCCTCATCTCTTTCCCCTAAACCTAAGAAAGGGGGAGCCCTCCTCCCCTACCAACTGACCCTAGAGTATCATGTCTCATCACGACTGTCTGCATTCTCCTCCTCTGTGTCCTGGCAAGGCCATCCCACCTTTTGTGGAATGAAGTGATCAAAGACCAAGTAACAGAGTCCATGACAGAGACAGTCCCTGCTCCCTTTACTAGGACAACCACATGCAGACTGAGCTGCCTATTGGTTACATCTGAGCCCCTAGGTCCTTTCCCTGCATGCTCGTTGGTTGGTGCATATTTCTCTGATGACCCTCTGGGCCCAAATTTGTTGGCTTTGTTGGCCTTCTTGTGGAACTCCTGTCCCTCTGGTTTCTTCTGTCACCCCCACTTTCTGTAAAACTTCCTGTGCTCTTCTCAAAGTTTGGCTGTGGGTCTCAGCATCTGTTTCCATCCCCTGCTGGGTAGAGTCCTTCAGAGGACTTGAACGAGTTTTCTAAGCTCTTGAAAACATCAGTATTAATACCTTATTTCTTTGTTGATTGCATCCAGTTGTTCTTGAAGCATCATAGCTAGAGTTTGGGCATCAGAATGACCGCTTGGAGAGAGCAGATCCATTGAGCTAAAAATTGTCTCTCTGTCATCATCATCAATATCGGACATTTCAGTGTCACTTTCGAATGGATGGCTGCCTAGTACTCCAATTTGCTGAGTTCTGTTCCATTCATGATCTCCAAGAGATTTAACCTGAATGATAAGTCAACAACTGAGATAATCATATTAAAAAAATAACTAATCTGAAAACTGACAACTACAACATCAGAATATGTATGCATTCCTTCATAACTGCCAGTCAAATGCAGACTGCATAGCAATATTTTAATTTAATGGTTCAATAAAATAGTTCCTGACACCTTATGAGATGGCAAGTATTAATTGTTTACTTACATTAATGTTTCAGCAGGAACAGATTTCATAAATTTACATATAATTTATATTCAACCAGCTTTCAAGGTGGCAATCATTTTTAAGCTTTTAAACTTGCAACACCTTTTTTCCCCCCAGATTTCTAAATATAACTCAAGCATTTTCATTTCTTATACTAATTAGACACACCTACACTTTTCTTATGAAAAGATGAGCACATGAATATTACCAGGTAGTATACTGAATTATAATTGTCTTCTCAAAATTCACTTAAAAGGTCTGAACATAATATTACTTCCATTATTGAAAATCAACATAATTTTATGTCTGTTGTCATGTTCATTTTTACCCTGACCACTAAACTTTTAACACAAACATGGTAATTTTAATGGTTGATGTTTTTATCTTAACAAGGTATTTTTTTATTTGAGAGTTTTGAGTAATCAACAGATCAATTATTTTGCCAACCATGACCCCAAATAGACAGGCCTTAGAATTTTATTCTCTTAGTATAATTAATTTCACTATTTTGGTCATTCAAATTGCATTATATGAAGATAAAATCGCATTTTGAGGTATATTGAATTAATGGCTACAGACCCGAAGTAACATTTGTGTTACCAGTTATTTTAATACCAAAGAAAACAAATTTATTTCTTTACAAGTAAGAAGAAAAGAACTGAGACTCTTATCTTTTATGTCCATTTATATTTCCATGTTTTTCATAAATATTTGATGCTACTGTGATGTTTTAATTTACAAGTGATCTATTTACTGATAATTATCAACCAAAAATATGAAGTGACTATTAAGAAAAAAACAGAATTTTGAATAAAAAAATTATTGTATGGGGATAGAGAGATGGCTCAGCAATTAAAGGCTAGGCTCACAGACAAAAATGAACAAAATATACTTAGGGTAAAGAGGAGGTTTTTTACCTTTTATACAGCTGCATTGATTATACAAAAATATGACTTAAAAGTTTGTTACGTCCACTGAATCTCTAAAATAAGTTTGCCTAAAGAAGACCTGCACAGTGACAGTCCCAGGTGACATGCCATCTTGGATAGGGGAGATCCACAAGACCCTCATGAGCTCATGAAATAATGGCTACTGAGAGAGAACCAGTCTTCTCTTCGGACAAGTCTTTTGATGATTTACCCAATCCCAGGAGATCAGCCCTAAATATACATATACCTCAGCAAGTTATAGCTATAAATGTGCGTGTATATAGATATGTCAGTTAGGGTGCCATGAGCTTCTGAAGGCGTGAGAGTGGTCAAGGAGGAGTTGAGGAGAAGAAAGGAGTAAGAAAAATGATACATGTACAGTACACATATCTGAAATTGTCTACAGAATTATAAATTATTTCACACTGATTTAATCTTCAGTGGCCTGTATGTTCCATATATGTCCTATAAAGAGGGTGACCTATCTGAAGACTAGCGATCCCGGGTCTCTTATAATAATGCAATAATGGAATCAACAGGCTGCTTTGTATACACACATACACATATGTAGTCATAATAATTAATGAAGAGATCATGAATTTGAGACAGAAGGGAACACAGGAGGGGTTGGATGAGAGAGAGGCAGTGGTGGGTGTGATGGGAACACAGTATGCATGCACACCATTTAAAAACTAGATGAAAACAGATTACAGATTAAAAGGCAGAGTAGCAGTTTATCGTGAACAGGACTTCACAGTCCTGTGGCACCATTAAAAGGTGTTTTTAAAATAGTAAATATTAGTAAAACATTTTATTAATTTTAGATAAAAATATAGATGCCAGCAATATTTCATATCCAAGCATACCTAATATCTATTTTCTTGGCAATATAATTTTTAAGACATGGAATCTGTCATTATCTACATCTAGCCCCAATTTTGAATTGGTCATTGTGCTGGCTCTGTAATGTGGAACGATTAATCTTTTGGTGCTTAAATCTTAAAATTTGTATAAAAATTTCACACATCTAATAATGGCAGATAAATAAATAAATACACAGGAAAGCTCTGGTACATGTTAGATGCCTTAGCTAATTTTAAAATATGTCATTTTCTATCTTCAAAACTAACATATTTAATGCCTGTGTTTGAGATTCTCTTCTAGTAGAAATTCTCTCTAGAAAAATAGCATATATTTAGCTAAAATAACTAATGCTCAAAGAAAACAATTACCTTTGGCTCATCTCTTCTCACACCCATACGGCCTCTCCTTGGTCGTCGTATCACTTTAGTGGTTCTGTAATCAGACTGGCTGTCCACAAGGGACCCGACTGAATACCTCAACTCAGCCGAGGTGTCTAGATGTGTTCTGGAAAACAAACAACCAAAAATATCAAGTCTCGCAAATTAAACTTACAGCTAAATGCTTCTAAAATATGAACAAGGCAGATTCTCTCAAGCAAGTACACTTCAAGAGAGAAGAGTTTTATTCTTGTTATGCTTTTGGACATGTGTTTCAGATGGTGCAGTAAAATTTCATTCCTGTGGGTAAAGTTCATGTTCTCATTTTCTGCTAACTTATAACCTTGTTATTTCTAATTTATTTATTATTTTTTATTTATTTATTTGCTTATTTATTTATTTTACAATTTATTCACTTTGTATCCCGGCTGTGGCACCCTCTCTCATCTTCCCCCAACCCCATCCTCCTTTCCTCTTCTCCCCTTATGCCCCTCCCCTAGTCCACTGCTAGGGGAGGACCTCCTCCCCTTCTATCTGACCCTAGCCTATCAGGTCTCATCAGAATTGGTCACAGAGGAAGATGCTTCATTCAGTTCTTATTATTTTCAGTGTGCTACTGCGATGGAGCATGCTAACATTAATAGTCAAATTCCATTTATTTCAACTGTAGACATCATGTATGGTTTTACAATTTATTGCAATGTTTTTAATGCTTCATGTTGTACTTGTGGAAAATGTACCATTCAGAACTTTTACGTTATATAAATTATACAGAAATTCATTAACATTTTTAGAACCTACAATGTTTGGTTGTCCATCTTAGAAAAACACTAAAATGCTTGCTTCACAGTGAACAATCTTATTTTAGTAATTAGCTAGGATTTTAGTTTGGAGTAAATCATTATTACAAGATGAAGACAAATCCTGGTAATCACACTCGATGCTGCAATTTGCCTAGAGATGAAATAGGTCTAAAATTACCATTGAAAAATATCACCACACCATCCTCAACAAACACTGTAATAAGGTACACTGCAATTGCAACATAAGAGTCAGCACACTGTCTGTATATAGATTTAAAGCAAATTCGACTTATCCCTGTAATCATGATGATGATAACAAAAGTGATTTGGTGCTGTCACAAAAAATGAAATCACAGATCATCGTTAGGAGGTGTTTTCTCTTCAACCTGAGGTCTGGCTGAGGTGGCACCCTTTCCATTAGCCCACTTTGATATTAGAGATAAGCATTATATATATTTGTCAAGATTTATAAAGTTTGGATGAGCTACAGCAGTTTGCAGTAGTAAGAGGTGATGATGTAACTTACTGAAGACCTAGTTTTACCAGATGCTAAATTAGATTAAATGAAATAAGGAATCATTCTTCAAACAGAGGACGCATATTGTTATGACAATGAACACGGTATGAATGTCAACCTGTCAGGTATTGAATGAGTCATACATAAAAGGAAACTAACCAAGCCATACTCAGAATTGACATAACTCTTGGTCTTCAGTCCCTTGGGTAAACGTTTGCATTTTATGAACATACAGATTAAACTTTAGTCACCATTATTTTCTCAGAAAGATATACCTTTTACACAGTGACCACTCTATCAGTTCTAGTGAGCCAATGAGTGAAAGGATAGAATAATGATCCACAAACTACCTACACCAACAGAGCCACGGTCCGTATCACCAATGGTTACTTTGGCCATCACAGTGGAGTTTCTAACACTACAGCTTTGTTGATTTGTTTTGTTTTGTTTTCTCTGGATTTTATCATTTTAAAAATTACGAAACGAGGAAAATTTCACACATCAGCGTTATGCTTATAACACCTTGATGTCCCCTTGAAGTCATTATAATTTAGGACTTCTTAGCGCTCAGATTCATGTTAACTACTTGCTCCTTCCTGCCCTTCCCCATCAAGCTTGACTGAATAGCATTCAATTCCTTCCATAGCTCACACTTTATTTCATATCTGCGCCTTTGAACACACTGTTTCTGCCAGAACAGTTTCTTAACACTTTTCTATATCTAGCATTGAGTTTCAGCTTTAATGTCCAATTGCCAAATACTATTCTATTTTTTTTCTTATTTCATCTTTGCAAGAGTCCACAAAGTAGCATCCCACGGTTTCCTTTCAGCAACATGTTTTAACACAACTGAAACCCTAGTGCATCCCTGTTTGACAAATAAAACATGGCAAATAGATCCCTGGAGCCAACACCAGTCTAGAAGAGGCATTGCACAAACTTCATATAAAAAATTTTGCTTGCCTCTCGACTTTTTGTCACATTTTTTAGCTTGATCTCTAACAAAAAAAAAAAAAAACAGAGGCAGTATCTCTACTCTATTTAAATTTTCAAACCATTTTCTACATAATTTATGAAAGAGTTTTCGGAAGTCTAAATAAGTTTGAAAAAAAGTCTTTCATTCCTTTAAACAATGATTTGTATGGATTTTCAATGTAACTGTATTACCAAATTTGATAAATGCTTACCTGTGATATGACTGTGCAATAATTATCCTTTTCTAAGAAAATTCACTTAAGAAGTTAGTATGATGACCTGGATATATTAATTATATATATGAAAAATATATTGTGAAAATCCAAATATGAAAAATTATTTCCCGTACTAAATGGCAAACATGTCAATCTGAAGTCTAGGAATATGGATTCTCTAATACATGGTCTTGTAACCACCTCTTACTTCCTTGAATAACTGATTTTTATGGGATCAACAATCTTTTCTGTAGATGAAGGCCATGATTTCAGGCTATCAGGAAACCTCACTATAGCAATGGAACATTTTATATTTTTAAAACCCTATTTATGAGACATAATTCAAAAGAAATATGGACACAGCATTTGGACATATTAGAACATAATTGATGTGTTGATAAGACTTTGATTTCTTTATGCATTGACTCCATGATAGTTCAGCAGCTATTCTCTTTATTGTCATCGTCATCATCGTCTTTCTCTCACATTCTGTGGACACATATCAATAATTTAGTCATATAAATGATTTTGGAGTTTTCTTTGTGGACACAGAACTGTACTGTATTTCACACACTAAAATAAATTTAAAAACACTCCACTATTGAATATTTTGTTAATTTATAGTTCTTTTGGAAAGAGTAGACAACTCTTCAGTAACATTATAATATTTATTTTATTATTCAATGATAATATTATTGAATGTAAAATAATCTACATGTATGTATTTGCCAGGTTTACATGCATGGTACCAATGAAAGTCAAATGAGGAAGTCTGATCCCCTTAAACTCAAGTAACATATGGTTTAAGGAAACCCATGGTTTCCAGATGAATCTTTATCTCTGCAGAAGCAACAAATGTTCTTAAACCACTGAACTCTCTCTCCAATTTACCCCCTCGAAACCTTTAGTTTATATTTGATTTCGTCATTGAAAAATGAATATTTAGGTAAACCTTCATTTTTACCAAGAGTAAACCATAGGCCATGAAGAATGTGTGATGCTGTGAAAAGTTATTAACAAAGTAGGCATACATTTTTGTTCTTGTGAAGATAATATTCTTAATAATAAAAGGATGGAATTATAAAAAGCAATGATTGTCAAAGTTTCAAATGTTCTCACTCAGTGTTTTCTATAAAATATGTACTTGAATTAATTTCACTGCTTCTTATCAAACAGAAGGAAAAACTAAATTACACATATATTATTGTCAAATGTATCTATTTATCATCCTACATATTCATCTACCTAATAACTAATCATTTCATGTCTTCTTTTTTTTAATAATGGTAAGAAGAATAGATGAACATGGTTAAACTCAAGTGAATGCTTCTTGTTTTTCATAAATAATTCCAGTTTTCATAATAGTTTTCAATTGATACAAACAGGAAGATGTTTGTTCAATCATTTTTAAGAATCTGTCATGTTTTTGTGTTGGGTCATTAGGAAAAAAAAACAGATCTGTCAATCAATGGAATAAAATTGAAAGCCCAGACAAGAATCCACACACGTATGTACACCTGATTTTTGATAAAGAGGGCAAAAATGCAGACGGGAAATAAAAAGACAATATGTAAAAACAAAGGGTGTTGGTTAAACTGGATGGACACCTGTACAATAATCTAAATAGATATATACTTATTACCCTTCACAAAACTCAACTCCAAATGGATCAAAGACCTAAAGACAAAACCAGATTCACTAAATCTGATAAAGCAGAAAGTAAGAGATAGCCTTCAACTCACTGGCACAAGAAATGCATTCTGAACAGAACACCATTAGCTCAGGCACTAAGATCAACAATTAATAAGTTGGGCCCATGTAAGTGAGAAGCTTCTCCACAGCAAAGGATACAGTCATTCAAAGAAGCAGGCTACAAAATTGGAAAATATTTTTTTTTTTACCAAGTACAAATTTCAGAGAGGGTTAATATACAAAACATACAAATAAATAAAAAAAAAACCGTAGATATCAAGAAAACAAACAACCCGATTAAAAATGAAGTATATATGTAAACAGAAACTCAATGACTAAGAAATACTTAAAATAAATGTTCAACATCATTAGCCATCAGGGGAATGCAAATCAAAATTTCATTGAGATTTTATCTTATACTCTTCAGTGTGGCTAGGATTGATTTTAATAAAGGAACTGCTCATACTGACAATGCTGTGGACTAAGAACACTTAATCACTGCTAGTGGGTGTACAAACTTGTACAACCACTACGGAAATCAGGGCCTCGTTTCCTCAGAAAGCTGGAAATTGATCTACCCCAACATTCAGCAATTATTTTCTAGGGATAGACCCAAAGGCACTTCATCCTATCACAGTTACAATTACTCAAACATATTCATTGCTGCTCTATTCATGATAATCAGACACTGAAAACAGTTCAGTTTCCCTTTAACAGATGAATGGATAAAGAAAATGTGATATATTTGCATAATGCAACATTACTAAGCAGTTAAAATAATGAAATTACTAAATTCTCAGGAAAAGTGGTGGAACTAGAAAAATATTATCCTGAGTCAGTTATCCCAGACCCAGGAAGTCAAATATGGTATGTATTCACTTAATTTTAACATTAGCTTTAAGGCCAAGGTAACCACTAATATCCATGCACCACAGAGGATGGGTATATATTAAGGGAATAGGGAGGGGATAGAATAGGTAGTTATGAATAGATGGGAAGGAGGTACTGGATCAAGTGAGGAAGACAAGTGTAGATGAAAATGAGGGAGGAAATATAGCGAGAGACAGATAAAATAAGAGCCACATGAGGGATGGTATGGAAACCTAATACAGTAAAAGCTTCATATTATATTTGAAGGCTATATAAATGAAATTGCCAAATAATGTGGAGACAGAACCCCAATATACATTTTGTCACCAAATGAAGTTTTCAGTATTTGGTTTGGGCTACATTTCATTGAGTTGGTGGCCAATATCTTCCTATGAGAACCCATGAACAACCCAGGCTGTTGCCAAGACTGTAGATAAATTGCTTTCCACAAGTTTACAGCAAGTCCCTATTGCTGAAGACAATGCCTACACAATTCATTAAATATGGAGAAGTTGAACTGGTGCCTACCTAGAACCTGTATCCACGGATGCTAGCATCTTTGATATAGGAAGGTACTCTGCACATTACCAAAGAAAAAAAATGTACCACCAACCCAGCTTTAAAAAACAAACAAACAAACAAACAAACAAACAAAAAAACCCTTCGATCTACAATGGAAGAGTAGCCAGTGTTCTTAACTGCTGAGCCATCTCTCCAGGGGAAACCAGCACCCGCAAGCACGAAATGCTAGGGAAATGGCAGAACAAAGCTTGTGGGGATAACCAACCAATATCTGATTTGATTTAAGCCCACTTCATGATTTGGAACTCATACCTGATGCTGCTTGGCTGATAAAATATCAGAGACTGGATAGCACATGGGCCTAGGGTAAAACCAAAAACTACTGTTCTACAGAAAGAAATAGCAATAAAATGACTTTAATGACATTCTGCTATAGTCATAGACCAGTTCATTGATCAGCCATAATAAGAGAATCTTCTTTCTACAGCAGATGGCAATTAATAGAGACTACAGCCTGACTATATTCAGTGTGAGAATTTCAAGGTTTTCTCCCTAAATGGGATGTATCCATCAAGTCCCTCCCCTAATGACTCAGGGAATCCTATGGGAAAGGAGGTAGAAAGGGTATACTAAGCATAGACTACTGAATACGCTAAGAAAACAAAATTCTGTAACACCAACAGGATCAATACATACAGAAACTCAGAGAGACTGAGGTTTGTACTGGTCCTTACTGTTTATATTATGGCTTCCAGTTTAATGTTTTTATGGGATTCCTGAGTGTGTGAGCAAGTGGTTGCTCTGAACATCTCCATATATTTCTTGTGCTGTTTCATGTGCATCTTTCATTTTGTTTGTTTTCTTCTGTCCTGATGTGTTAGTTTTTGTTTCGTCTTATTTTATTATATACATTTGTCTCTTAGAAGCCTTTTTGTTTTCTAATTAGAGAAAGGGGATGGATCCAGATGGGGGAGAAGTGCAGAGGAAATGATGGCATAAATGGAGAGGGACTAAATCATAATCAGCATTTTTATGTGGCAAAAATAAATTTTCAATATAAGATAAAAGATAATTTTATAAAAACTAAAAGCTAATGTTTCCTCTTGAAGTACAATGCATTTTATATGTCCTCTCATTTTTCATTTAAGAATTACTTCTGCATTTATAACTTAGACACGGTACACAAAAAATTTTCAGTTATATTTTGAATGCAATATCTTCAGAGGATTTCTAAATTAGTAAGTTATCGTTGAATTCAGAATCTAATATTATATATTAAATTATTACAATGTCTACTGAGAAATATGAGATGTTTATTTTGTGTGAGGAAGCATTAAAATATAAGAAAATGTACATTTTTCTTTGCTTAACCATAAAGTAAACAACATTTAACTTACTGTTACCTTGATATGGTGGGTTCAATTAGAGAGCCAGTTCTCATTTTCATTTGGTCAAGTTCAGATCTTAACTTCTCAATTTCTTCTGCTAGTCTTTCCTAAAAATTAAAAGGTAGTTACTCAGATGATGGTCATATCCAATGTATCAGCAATAAATTATAAATAAACACTTATAAATATTTAAAAAGGAAAATATAAAAATGTATTGAAGAATACTACATATAATCAGAAAATATACTTGTGTTTACTTTTCAAAATAAATATGCCATCAACAGAAGTCAACAATAACACCTCTATTCCTTTGTGTTTATTAATCCTAAATATTGGCAAATTTTATGAGATTATTAAGATCATGAATATTTACAGATATTTCATATCAAATGCAAAAGTGAATGTGATGGCAACTCTTTTCATTTTCAACTTGACTACAACTAGAATTAACTAAAGTCCAAGTTCTTTTTTCATCTGTGAAATAATTTTTTAATTAATTAATTTGAAGTGAGGAGACCCACTTTCATTCCAGAACTTTTGAGGGTGGAAGATACTTAATCCTGAACTTTTGAGGCAGAAGGTACAGCTTCAATCCAGGCCACCTCTTTTTCTGTCAGCCTACATGAAAGACATGTAAGAAGGAAGCTAGCTCTTTGCAGGCTTTCTCTTGCAAATTCACTTTTTTTCTCTGTCATTAGAGCCTACTTCTTCAGGATTCCAGTGTGTAGTGAAGACTAGCTGAGACTTTCAGCCTTGTGAACTGAATTACTTTATTTTTGGACCTTCTATTTATACGCAGCCATTTTGTTGTATCATATATTGTAAGCCATTCCAATAAATCCTCTAGCTACATACATGTGTGTGAGTGTTCATGTGTATATATATATATACAAACTTTGTATATATATATATATATATATATATATATATATACAAATACATATATTTCAAAGGAACCCAATATTCCAGTGAATAATGAATAGATAAAGCATATTTATGATTGAAAGACTCAGCATGAAGGAAAGGCTATCAATAACCTAATTGCAATCTTGTTTGTGTTTCTCTATATATAATTATTTCAGACTAGTATTAAATACCTCAGAGTGTAAGTTTGTGAAGATTGGAATTGTCTCACAGCTATTAAGTAAATACTCATTAAATTACTTCATAATGTTTTTATTTGATTATAATATGTGTGTTCTGAGTCCTTAGTTTCTATAAATTCTCTCCCAGTAGCCAACTCTTACATTTTGTTTGATTCATATTTCTTTTCCTACCACACTGTAACTGGGTTTAATGAGAATGATCCCCTTAGGCTCAAATATTTGAATGCTTAGTCTCCAGTTTGTGATACTGTTTAGGTTGGGTTAGGAGGTGTGGCCTTTTTGGAAGAAGCATGACATTGGACATGGGCTATGTGGTAGAAAAAGGGGCACAATATTAGTTGTCTTTTTTCTTCTTCTTTGTGGATCAGATTTAAACTCTCAGCTCCTGCCCCAATGCCACGCCTGTGCTAGTTTCCAGGTACCACAACTGATCAGAGACTCACCCTTTGGAGTTGTAAACCATAACAAACTCTGTCTTTTATAACTGGCCTTAGGTATGATGTCTCTTTACAGCAACAGAAAAATAACTAACACAATGGCATTTACTTTTTTGTGACATTTACTTTTTATGTTCTTTATATTTTCAGGACCTCAATCTTATTTTCTCTAAGTTTCTTTGACAAATTTCTAAATTATTTATTAAGTTCAGTATCTTTGGCATAAATTCCTTGGCAAGCATATAATTTTGAAACATATGATTAATTAAATATATAATTTGCTTTAAACAATTTTTGTATAATTACTTAATTTCATTATCTTCAGAAAAAAATATTTACTGAGTTTCTCTTCTGTGCACCTATGTGTACAATGATTGCATAGTCTTTTCTTAATGTACATTGGTAGAAAAGACAACAAATAAATGCATACATAGAATGTAGATTTAGTAAAATTACCACTGTATTAGGAGAAAAGGTAGGTATGGAAGACACTAAAGCACTTTAAAACTCTTTGGCCTTTTACTATGAGTAGTAAAAGGGGTAAATGTGAGAAATCTTGACAGAGAAGCATTGTAGCATGACCACTGCATAGCTCTGAATAAAGGCTTGCATAAAATTGGGGGCAGGGAAAAAGGAAAATTATTTGAAGTTCTCTAAAATTTTATCAGCAGAGTCATCGGGTGGTTATGAATGTTCACTGGGACAAAATGGATAGATTTTTATTATGCTCTGATGATATAACTTACAGAATTTATCTGTTAGGTTTGACAAAGTAAATATTACTTTGAAACATGTATATTCAAATAAATAATTTGCTTTAAATATTTTCTTGTTTAATTACTTAACTGTATTATTTTCGGAAATTTTTCACTGAGTTTTCTCTTCTGTGTACCTAGTACATAATGAATGCACTGCCTTTCCTTAATGTACATTAGTAGATATTATTTATGTTTACCAATGGGGTAGATGTAATTTACTCAGAAAATTGCTGGTAATGTTGGCCAGGTTAGGTGGCAGTAGTTTTTGGTATGTGTGAAAATGTTGTAGGTAGGTAACTCTGTGCAGAATTGACATGTTGAATAAGAATTTTTGTGTCCAAATGGAAACATGAGTTGGCCCAGAAATATAAAAATGTCTTCCTGTATTGATGATCACCTTCATCAGTAGGTGATCTAAATTAGGAAGTGCTTAAGCAGGAGTGACATTGGAAGTAGAAAAATACAGGGAACAGGACAAAAGCTCTCCACACATGCCCTCTGAAAAACTCTGCTCATGAGGGTATCAAAGCAGATGCTGAGAGTCATAGCCAAACTTTGGGCAAAGTTCAGGGAATCTTATGGAAGAAGGGGGAGAGAGAAAGACCTGGAGGAGACAGGAGCTCCACCTGGAGACTAAAAGAGCCAAAAATTCTGGGCACAGGAGAGCCCAGCTGAGACTCACAAATCAACCAAGGACCATGCAAGAAGAGGACCTGTTCAGAGGTAGCCCACCCACGGCAGCTCAGTCTCCAAGTGGGTTCCCTAGTGAGGGGAGCAGGGGCTGTCTCTTCCATGAACTCAGGGGCAGGCTCTTTGATCACCTCTCCCTTGGGGAAGCAGCCTTACCAGACCACAGAGTAAGACAATGCAGCCAGCCCTGATGTGACCTGATAGGCTAGGGCCAGAGAGTAGGGGAGGAGGACTAGGGGAGGGACATAGGTGGGGAGAAGAATGGAGAGTGAGTCCAGAAGGAGATGATGGAGGGGGATGAAACAGAGATATAAAGTGAATAAGTTGTAATTAATAGTAATAATGATGATGATGATAATGATCAAAAGGAAAAAAATAAAAAAGAAATTCAAGAGATCAAATAAGCCTGTCAGGGACTGGACAAGAAGAGCTTCAGAAAGCAGTGTAAGTATTTTAGATTTCAAAGATAAAGTTAGGAAAAAAAATGAGAGATGACTTGGGATGCAGAAGATATTGTGGGTTGTGATCTTAGGTATTTGAGTGGACGTTTGAACAAGTATAGGTGTGCTGAGATCAGTGAGTGTACTAAGCTGTATGAAACGATATTCCAAAAATGATGCATGGCCTAGGAATACATTCTATGGAGACTGACATTATCAAGGACATATGCATAAGATGACTTGCAATGTTGGTTGCTTGGACAGGATGCTGAAGCTATAGGCTTGAGTAGGTGCTGGGGAGTAGGCACTGAGGATCCTGCTAGAAGCTCACAGAACTTTAAATAACTTAACACTGCATAACAAGATCAAGTCCAAAATTCACAATCTGGCTACAACTACTGCACTGAACATGTGATACTTCCAGCAAAATTCTGATGATTCATCTAGTCTCTCAGGCTTGGTTCCTCTGTGCTGTCAGGTAAAATCCAGCCTCCTCCACCTGGACCACTAGCTGTTCACTAAATGTGTCGAAGAGCCTACTAAAATATTGTCTCCACTGGGCAACCTTTCTTAACCACTCAGTGATAAATTGATGTCATCCTTCAGCTACCTGCAACAGTGCTCTATTATACGTATCAGAAAAGTATGGGCATCCTGACTGTGGAACCAAATGATGACTGTTTTCAAATTATCACAACATGTATTATATTCTATAAACTTGTTAAGTTTTCTTTTCCAGTCATATTTTCAGTACCTTTTATGTTATTGTAGTGCTATCAGATCTTTAATACTTTCTTCCTCCCTCTTTTGCCTCCTTTCCTTTTTTTAACTCTCTCTTTTTTTTTTTTTTTTGATTTATTCCTTTTCGCCCTGCTTGTCCTTTATTTCTTTCTGTGTGTTTCCAATACACACATAGAGGATGTATATTAAATGGCATTTAAAATGAAAATTTAAGGAAACAAGGCTAATGAAGTGTTACTAATGAGTGTGTTACTATTTCGGCTTTGAAGATTTTATAACCCACGTTTTGTTAGCCTCTTAAGCCAACTTGCATGGCATTGTCATCCTACAGCATGAATGGCTAGTCCTCAGCAAACTGCTGACCAACGTTAAAGTATCACACTTATGAATAACGCCCCCCCCCCAAAAAAAAAGTACCAATGGTCCTGCTGTGTGTCCTGTGCTTGCGAGGTCAGCAGCACCTTCTAACCTTGCCTGATTCTTCAGTCACATCCTGAGTCCCTGAAGCCTTTTTACATCATCAGTGTGCTATGACCTCTACCGTCTGTGGCTCACTGGACTGACCCTTGGTTTCTGCCATTCTGAATCACTATTTGCAGAGTACGCGTCTTCTCTTATATTCTCAACCACCTCAGAAATAAGATAATACCAGGAAATATTTAATGATGTAACTGTATAATAGGTACTTAGTTATAGTGATAACTCCTCAAATCACAAAATTTAGAGAACATGTTTTTTTTTTATTTTATTTCTATAAGGTTCAAACCAGTGCAAGATCATTTTGATTAGTGGAGATATTGATTAATAATAATTTAAAACTAAAATTAGTTGAGTTTCCAGAGTGCTAATGTTCAGTGCGTTAATGCTAAAAACTTCTCAATTTCTGCCTAAATGCATGCTTTGCTATAAACATAAGAAGTTAAAGTTGTTTTAAAGTCTAACACAAAATTATTTTTATCATACTTATTTTGTAATATGTTCATCAACGAGAATAAGATGAATGGGCTTCCATAATACCTTATCATGTAAAGATTCTTCAAGATTTTTTCTGAAGGTTTCTGATTCTTGAATCAAAACATTCTATGGAAAAAAGAAAGATGCAATATGCTGAAAATATTTAAAATGTATGTGAATACTCTAACACTCCATAGCCTCTTATTGACTACTTCCTTGGTAAATCTGTTTCCTGGTTTCTATGGAAACCAAGTTCCACTGAAATCTTCAAAAGTAACACTCAACATTTTACAAAATAAATTATTTAAATGAGAAATGCTATTTTGCTCTACTTGGATAGATAAACAATGTAAATATTACCCTCTGAGCTGTTACTCTGATTTTTCACAAACTTTATTTTAGATGGGAAATAAGCGATTCAACTGTTAGCCAACTATGAGCAGTATGCTTTGATCTCTTAATATATCAACAAATCAAAATTTGTTAATATTTTGTTAAGACATTTTCCTAGTTTTTCTCGCTTGTATGTCAATAGGAAATGCCTGAATAAGATACTGAATGAAATTCTGTTTAAATTTCTGAACTCATTTGTCCTCATGAGGTTTTTGTACCCTCTGGCTTAGCTCTGAGGTTGGCCACCAGCTCTAACAATTCTAACTGGTATAATAAGGTTCCAGTTACTAATGTGACAAACATGATTGTGAATCAAATTTTAGACTGACTGAAGCAAGTTTCTTGAAACAATGCAGTTGAAAATAGACATAACCAAACCACCCAATGCTAGCAATATTACTCCTCTTGCTGCCATAGCCTCTCTCATTGTTGGCTCTCAGTGTTGTTAGTTATCAGGTAGATTAAACACACAGTAGTCTCAAGTAAACCCATACTCATTATTTATTTTTCTCTGTAGTATATATAACAAACGAGAAGGTAATTAAAACTTTCAATTGCTTTTTATTACATAGCATAGCATATTTTGATACATTAGCTTCTTAAAAACATACTGATACATGATGTTTATCATGTGTCACGCAGTTACTCATTCAATACATGATGCTATAGCATCTTATTGAAACTATATACTCACTTCCTAAGACTGTCTCAGTGGTTTTAGGCTAGGGAAAGTAGGTTGAATGCCTGACATAAACAGTGAGAGCAGCAGGCTAGGAAACAGCAACCTGGATAATATGGCGAAGCACCCCGGTGCTTCCCTCCCCGTCTGCAACGGTACCTTCTCTTCCAAGGCAGCCATTCTTTCCTTCAAGTGAAGTTGTAGGCGCTCATTGGATTCTGTCAGAAGCCTGTCCACAGTATCAGATAACCTTTTATTATGTTCCTCATTCATTTTCTCTCTTTGTCTAGCCTTACATTTAAGAAAAAGAGAAAATATATTTGGCATGAAAAAAAAAACACAACTGTTCGAGCTTAATTTTATAATTTTGTTGGTTTTATGCTGAATATAATTTTATGCAAATTTTTTATTAAATTTGTAGCAACTGTTTTTTTTTTTTTCAAATGGCTAGAACATAACCATATGATTTTAAACACAGCTTCTAAATTACAATGCAACCAGTCCCGATGAGCCTGAGAGCCTAGGATCAGATAGTAAGGGAGAAGGACCTCTCCTATCAGTGGACTAGGGGAGGGACATAGGGGGAAAAGAGGGAGGGAGGGTGAGGCTGGGAGGAGACAAGGGAGGGGAGCTACAGCTGGGATACAAAGTGAATGAATTGTAATAAATAATAAATAAATAGAAATTGTTAAAAGTATGCTTTCCTTTGATAGGCAGTTTGTTGATTAAAACACTAATGATGAATGGGAAAGCTTCATACATACTCTTTGAAGTTCTTGATTCTTCTCTTCAAGTTGACCCTCTAAGTGTCTCATACGTTCTTCAATATTTCCATGTCTCTCTTCAGCCTGTTAAGAAATATGAAGAGTAGACCTAAAGTGTAAGATGAGTTAATTCTTCCCATATCAATAAACAGAAATAAAATGTAAAGCAAGCTACTACCAACTGCCAACATAGTTTCCAAAAAATAAACTTTCTTTAAACAGGCAGCTGAACAGCATTGCTTGAAATGTGTCAGCTAACAAAGGCCTGTTAACATCCAAGCATCAGCAAAACACTGGAGTCATTTATGAGCAATGAAATCAGCCAGATGTAACATGCAGACTGTGCGTGGTTTGAACACAAACCTGCCACTGTCCAGTCTTAAGCCCCTGAAGCACTGAACTGCACAGATGGTCGATTATCAATAAATAAAAGTAACATAATTTTTATAAATAAAAAGAAAAAAAACTTAGATGGATTCTATTTAGCGATAGAAAGTAAAGTCCAGTAGGACTACCTTCCTACGTATGGAGATCATTTCTTGTAGTTTAGCTTCCATAACATATTGATAATCATCAGATGAGGTAGAAGAGGTTGGATCAGACTAACAAGTCAAGGAAAAGGAGAGGGACAAAATTGAAAAAATCAGAACTAAAGACACTGACACCAAACAGAACATAGTACAGAATGCTTAAAATAAAAGTGACAGCAAATTCAATACTTTAATTGACAAAACTTTATGTAGAAAGAACTACTTTGATATCTAGTGAAGATAATGCAGTTAATGGTTATAAATGGAAGTCAATGATATGCTCAAATAAAAAGCTGTGAACCTGAGGTATGGAGGGTTAGTGACAGCTGGCCGTGAAGGACCGCTGTACAGGATGAGTTAAAGCAACCCTGGAAATGACAAAATGTAATAACTGGAATTTTGAGAAATGAAACACTTGAATGTCTCTGATAGATATGTAGTCACTTGTCTTTTGTTTTTTCATGTTACTCGAAAAAAAAAAAAAAACTGATGTAAACCTTGCATTTCCACATTGAAAACGTTCTTTGCTATGACTCAGGGGTTTGGTATCTGGATCGGGAATATATAAGGCCGTATGTAGAACTCAGAAGGAAAACTAAGCCGCAGGATGTGTTAGTAAAAAAGTTCTTCAGTTAAAGCAAGTTTGAGTTTGCTCAGCAACAGTGGTCCACGTAAGAGATGACTCCTGTACCCAATGCACATTGCCCAAGCCACAATGGTCTCATTCTCAAGCATAACTTAAAATTTTTTAAATTAAAACTTCTCTGTTTATAAGGAGATAATAATGTCTTGCGGACAAGAAACTTTTGTTGAATGCTCAAAAATCACACTAAAGATCCCACGAAAGTGTATCAACATTAATTTGTTACTATGGAAATAAAATAGTTCCCCAGGGTGAATAGGAAGCACAGAGCCTTTGTGAGTTAATGATTGTCTAGGGCTGGGATTAGTTACATGTCTTGTTGTCAAGATACCCACAGGTGTAATGTTAACACATGGCACTTTTCTGAGAGTTGAATTGTATTAGCATGTTATGCAGAAGTACTTACAATACTACATCAAGATTTTAATTATAATCACAAGTTAAATAATTAGGACACCAAAACATTATGTCAGCAATACAATTTTAACTATATTGGCTCATTTTTATGTGTGAAAATTATTTTAAACTAGTTTAGGATTATAAGCAAACACTGCATGCAGTAACTGAAAAAGAAATAGTAATAAATTAATATACATTTGTTCTGCTTTGTACAACAAACTCCAATTTACTCTAAGGAGTCGCAATGAACATTTCAAATCTGATGTATTAGTATAAGTTATGTTTTATCATTCACATCTCTGAGCATTTTCCCTCATAAATTGGTTTTATAAACATGGATCACCACAGTTTCCTCCCCAGTGTCATACACAGGTTTCCAAATAGAAACAATGGAAGCTACCGTGATCTTCAAATACAAGCACATGAAGTTTGTATTATTTAACTATTTTCATTGTTTCAAATTTTATTCATATGTGTGCTTCTGTGTGTGGGTTAGCGTGTGTGACTGCAATATTGTGGAAGGTAGGAAGAGGGTGGCAGATAAATGGAACTGGGTTTTCAGGTGATAGTGAAAGCTAACGGATCTGATTGCTGTGACCTGAACCAAGGTCTTCTATATGCAATCTTTCTATCACTCTGTTTCTATACCTTTTAGAAATTACAAGTTCCACAGAGGAAAAATACAGATGATTGGTGAATAGCTGTTTGGAATTCTGGGACCTAAATTCATAATTGAACCTGTATATTTTATGCAAGTTTAAGTTATTAAAAATAAGTAAGTGACTGATTCAGAAGAGTGCTGTGAATATGTGAACCTCTAGAAGTTTCTTCTTAAAAAAAAAATACAAGTTCTTTAACATCTTTAAACCTTTTCATGTTTTTTTTTTCCTTCACTAAAGAACTTGCAAAACCATTCAGAAGATACACTTCAGATTCAAAACACACGTTCTGCCATTTCTAAATTATGTTGTGAAATGTTTCATTAGTACTAAAATGAATGAAATACCTCATAAAACTCAAGAAGAGTTATGTCCTACTTGAGGAAATGTGGATTTTAATTAAATAGTAGGTATAACAAATAATAACATTGGGAGTCCAGAGTGATCTTTGACAGTTAATTATAGGCGAAACATATCAAATTTATTTTTTATTTATGGCCATTACTTGAGAATTCTTTCTAAAAGGTTTAAACAGGCTTTACCTACTTTGCATCTCTAGCTAGATGATTAAAAAACAACACAGTCCTATAATCCAAACAATAAATCCAGTCATCATCTCTAACACCAGAAGTTTTACCCAACACTACTGTGCTGTGTTGCTCTTAGACTTGTCACAGCACAATTGTAGCAGCTGACACAAGCCCAATGCTGAAAAGAGTGAATTTTCTTCTATTTGCCCATAAGGAGTTTACCTTGGTTTCACTCTTTGATATAGGGAAATCTCAAATGAGTTAAGATTTTAGCAAAAAAGCAGAGTGCCATTATTAATGCCTCAGGTTGAGCCAATTATTATTTGGATTTTCCCTCTATCTTTGCTCCCTCCTATCCTTACACTTCTTGCAGGCAGGGTAATTTTGGCTTCACAGGTCTGTTGGTAAGTTGTTGATCCTTCCTTCCACTAGTCAGTCCTACCTGGCTAGGCTGTGGTCACTTCAATCTTCATGTCCCCTCCCTGTTAAAAAAGCTAGAATCACACCCATATCTTTCCAGGAGCCTACCCTGTAGCAGGCCTCCAGCTTGACCACAAGATGCCCCTCCCACCCTCATAATCCCTACATCTGATCCCCACCCTCGTTTCCCTCTGCATTCCATCTCCTGCCCAGTTCCCTCTGTTCATTCACTTCTGCTGACAGGAACCTAACTTGACTGCTCCAGCCAACAGCAGATCTAGACAGATGCTGGGATTTGCAGCCAAGCATGGGGTAGAAATATGGGGGCCTTGAGAAGTGTTGGGGAAAGATGGAAGGAACTGGAGGGGACAGGCACCTTATAAGAAGACTAACAGAGGCAACAAACCCAGTCACATGGAGGCCTTCAGAGACTGAGACATCAACCAAAACACGCATGATCTGGACCGAGGACCCTGAACACATGTAACTGAAGGACAGCTTGGTCTCAAATGGGGTGCCTGTCCAGTGGGTTGGGATGAGGGGTGCTGGTTCTAACATGGATTCTATTGCCTGTTTTTGGAGCACTTCGTTCTGGAAGGACTGTCTTGCCCTTAGCCACAGGGGATGAAGAAATGTTCAGTCCTCTTGTGACTTGATATGCTGGGGAAGGTTAATAGGGGTGGGGTGAAGGGGTTCCCCATTTCTGGGGGAATAAAAGAGGGAAAGGGGAAGGAAAGAAAGAGCTGGGACTGAGAGGAAGGGGGCATCTATGGGATGTAAAGTAAATAAACTAATATAAAAAATTTTAAAGGATTTTAGCAAAATAATGACAGAAATTATTGAGAAGAATGTAAATACATTCAGAATGAAGAACAGTTAGTAAAGGAAAACCTTAAAAAGAAAAATGATGTTATAGCTAGACAAATAAATATACACATTCAATTAAATACTTGATTTGTTGCTGGAATATCACTTAAAAACATAAGAGAAAGAAATCTGAGGCTTAAGCTAAGTAGACATTTCGTAATTTAGAGTAGTCAATAGCACAAAGAGTAAGAAAAAGACCACTGATAATAATGATGGTATATTGACTATGAAGTGAAATTCAAGGAAATGGAAACATCATTTAGAGTAACTCTGACCATTCTGAGTTATTCTATGATCAGGACAAGATGGCTGAAGTCAGAGTGCTCAGAGGAGCTGAGTCATCCTCAGTTTTTATGGACTCACTGTAGGATAACAAATATGACTTTAGTGGTTAGGAATCTGCAAAACAAAACACTCTTCAGTAATATAAAAATTGTCATATACACCTGAAATACGTTGTCCCTAGAGAAGTTGTTGGAAGCCAAAGTGATGGGAAGCAAAGAATAAATTACACACTGTTAGAGGAATTTTTTAAAAAATGCTAAATGCTTTCTGAAATATTGAAAACTCAGAGAGTTCCGATTGAGGAAGTTTATTCACCATGGTAATTCCTTTTGTATAATAATAAAAGTGTACGCTAATAAAAATGATGAAGATTTGTGGGATGATGATAGTAATAACAGAGTCAATGTCTAGGGTTTCTATATCATAAATGAATGATTTAGGACTATTTCATTTAAAGCCATGTAAGTCTGTTAATACATTTTAAATTATATTTTATTATAAAGCTATCAAGGGATAACTTGTACTAATCATTTAATGAATTATAAGATGTATTTCTTTAGGAAAAATTCTAAATTTTGTTATTTTGTTCAGTAAAATAAATACTGATATTTATTTTTTTCAGGTGTACAAAATTTATTTAACAATTTAAAGTGTCTAATTGGAAAAGTAAGTAATTAAGTTAAAATGACTACTAAGGCATAAATAAATTTTAGAAAAAAAATAACAATTATTAATTTCAAGGTTACTAACTTGTTAGATTGAATTATTTGGAAATTTATTCAAATTGCCTTAAGACACTGATTACGCAAACTAAAATTTTAACATTGGACACTAGGTTCAAAAATAAGGTATATAATTTTATGCTTATATTGTCTCTTGCGTCGTAGATCTAGTTAAAATGTCTATGACTTCACTGTTCACTCTTCCTCAGCGGTATCTCAGAGCCTTGCTTACTCTTTTTCACTGGGCAAAACCACCTTAAATTTTTTCTAGTTCATTTTTCAGTGTCAACAGTCACTGTTTACACAGACACTGGTCTAATTTTTCATTCTTACATAATATATGCCTGGAGAGGCATCTGATTTTGATAAAAATCAGTCAATCAGTCACCAGGCTTTTTTTCAGTCACCATAATAAAATCAACCCTCAGTCAAATCAACATCTACCCTGCAATTTTAGGAAATTTCTTCTATATGATACTTTTGATGGAGTTTTTTGTCTGAGTGCAAAAAGTTGTTCCTGATGTTTATTTTACTCAGTTTTTCAAGTTATTTTCTTATTCAATCCCACAATAGCAAATTTTAACGTGATAACTCTTTGTACAAATTACAGAGCAACTATCTATGTGTTAATCTGCATTATAGTATTTTGCAAGAAAAAAGCATAATAATATTGGTATGTGTGAGTAGGATTATATAACTTAAGATATTTTTGCAGTGGCCTGATTTTTCCGGCTAAGTTTTGAGGCCCTATCCAGAGTGATTTAGGTACGGTCTATGGTTATAGAAAGATGTAAATTTAATAGTATTCCTCTAAAAGAAAAATGTTTCATCAAATGGTACCTTATTACTTTAAAAATCACCACAAAATATCATGCTTTCCAGTTCTGCTCAACTCTGTCTGATTTTTCATATAAATACTTTATTTTCACATAAGAACATCATCAAATTGTTTACTCATTCTTTGCCTTTCCAGTCTAGATGATGAGTTTGTGTCCCTATCTCCACCACTGCACCAATTTGTGTATAAAACCTATCATTAAAATGTAATCCCTATTATCAAGTTTTCATGTCAACAGGACCTATTCATTGTATACCCTAAAGAACTTAAAGAACTGCAATGGTTATATGAACATAGAAAATGCGTGTGTAGTTTCCAACTGACATAAAAGTAAAACATGATTCAGTGACAAAACCAGGACTTTTCGGATGAAATGGATATGATTTCTGTTTGTCCTTAAGAGTTCAAATGGCTCTATTAGAACAGCTTTATATTATATAACATAAAAGTTTTAAAATGTACAGTTCATACTATGAAAAAACAGTGCAATACTCTATATTATTCCCGATTTCACTTGTCTTTCAGAAGAAAAACAATTATAAAAGTACTTTTTATGTCTTATTTTTTTTTCAACTGTATCTTCTAAACTTTCTTCTTCTAACAAGGTATACCGTAGTGCAATATAATTGGGATCAATGGTTATTATATTTCTTATATTGTTTCTGTAGCAAGCCACTTACACATAGCTGATTTAAGTGTTATTTTATATACATATCTTGATATTTTAAACTCCATGGTTATGATTATATGAAAAACTACTGAACTCGTCTAGAAAATTTATTATAGCAACAACATGATATTTTGCATCTCTTGTTAATGTTAAAATTGACAAGGATTTGATCTTACTCATGTAACATCATTCAAGTCACTGTCAGTAAGACATATACAATAAGGAATCAAAATGTTAATGAACAGAGATAACAAAGATCCAACTACTATAACTTTCACATAGCATAAAGAGAAAAAATATAGCTTCCGCAGGGATGGACAGTTACTTCTGCGAATACAGATAGGCACACCACTTGTGTCTAGTGCAGTACCTTCGTTAGGGCTGCAATTCTCTGAGCCAGTTCAGCCTCAACTTCAGGCAAAGTTTCAGCTTTTCTCATAGTCTGCTGTAACTTTTGCTCAGCCAGTTCAAGACGCTCCTGTAATTGCCTATTTTTTTCTTCCATCTGAAATAGGAATGATAAAGGTGCCATTTAGACAGTCAAGAGTTAGATTAGCTGGAACGAGTCATATGGCCTTTGTGCTCAGCTATTTTTTGTAGATGTAAAAACAGCCATTATCATATGTAACGTGTGCTGTGTGGAGACTGTTATGATTTCATGTGTTGTCAATTTCAATTTCTGAAATTCAGTACAATAAAATTGCAACTATTTTACCATTGACAGCAAACAGAAGAAATTTCTAATGAGTATGAACTTGAACAAATGGAATGTAGTTCAGTATTGATACTCTAGTTTGCCACCACAAGAAATAAACATGTTCAAAATCATAGTTTCAGACTGGAGTAAGATAAGGAGTACAGTGGCAGAGAAGTCCACACTCTTGAGATTGGACAAGCAAATTTTCTGTTTAGGACACAGAGTATTTTAGGATTGTGTGTCACATGGTCTCTGGTTCAATTCCTCCACCGTGCTGATGTAACACAAGAAAAACCAGTAACAATTAAATAGTTGTGTAGATTCCATTAAAACTGCATTTACATAAGAAGAGAGACCACAGTTGTCTTATATGCTGCAACTCCCTCTCTTTTGCTGTAGAGCTAGCTGACAGGATAGCTGATATGATTCCAGCCCTGATGTGTACCATGTTTGTAACCTTGGGAAGTAGTTATGCCTTTGATCCTTAGAGTACTCAGTAGAATACCTGTACCTAACCAGTAGCTGGTGGCTATAATTAAGAGAAATAATACAAGGGTCTGCTTCGTATCTAAATTCAAAGTCAATAGTTACAGTATTGTTATGTGTTCTATATATTGTTATGTAGGATTGTTATTCATATGAGTTAGCACTATTCTAAGTTTTAGAGTATGATTACTCACCTGCTAAAATAAATAAATAAATAACCTTAAATGGTGAGAACATATGTACTGGGCAAAGCAGAATCAAAACAGAGGGACTGAACCTGGCGCAAGATGGCTTCCTTGTTGGCCAACTCATTTTCCAGTTTATCATTCATGTCATGAATGGAGGTAGATTCTCTCTGAGCACTCAGGTATCGCTTCTCCAAAGTGGTGATTCTCTCTTCCATATCTTCCTTCTGAGCCATTGCCTGCAAATAACACCGTACAAATCATGTGCAAGTCTTTCATTTCATCCCCATCACAGCAAAACACAAAAGAAAATCAGTGTTAGACATATGTAGTTTTCTTCCTTAAATGAAATAACAAGATCTCGAAAATATGGCTTTTTTTTTCAAGGAAAGTAAAGAATAGTAAAAATGCTTCCATCTGTGCCAGGGCAAGTGGCACAGAACTTTAAATCTAGTACATGAAAGCCAGACACAGACAAGTCTCTGAGTTTGAGGCTAGCCTAGCCTACTTATTGAGTACTAGAACAAATAGAACTACACAAAACAAAGAAACCCTGTCTCAACCCCCTTCCGAGTTTCATATATTTCTTGGTATCTTTATCATACTTTTTTTTTTAAGATTTCTTTCTTTCTTTCTTTCTTTCTTTCTTTCTTTCTTTCTTTCTTTCTTTCTTTCTTTCTTTCTTTCTTTATTATGTAGACTGTGTTCTGCCTCCATGTACACCTGCAGGCCAGAAGAGGGTGTCAAATCTCTGTAGGTGGTTACAATCAACCATGTGGTTGCGGTGAATTAAACTCAGGACCTTTAGAAGAGGAGCTATTGTTCTTAGCCTTTGAACCATCATCCAGTCCTTGTTTTTATATTTTTAGAATAGATTGATCATGAACTTTCTAGTGTTATAGAAGAAGGGGAATAGAGAAGGACCCAGGGGAAACAGGAGCCCCACAAGGAGACAAGCAAAGCCATAAATAAGCAGAGCCCAGGGTTACTGCAGAGACTAATACATCAACCAAAGACCATACATAGAGAGGACCTAGACCCCTGCTCAGATGTAGCCCATAGACAGCTCAGTCTTCATGTGGGAAAGGAAAGGAAAAAGCAACAGCCTCTGACATGAACTCAGTTGCCTGCTCCTTGATCACTTCTCCCTGGAGGGGAAACCTAGCCAGCCCACAGAGGGAGAAGATCCAGGTAGTTTTGATGGATCCTGATAGGCTAGGGTCAGACATTAGGGGAGGAGGACGTACTCTATCAGTAGACTAGAGGAAAGTGATAAGGGAGGAAGAAGAGAGGAGGGTGGGACAGTGAGGAGATCAAGGAGGGAGCTAAAGCCGTGATCGAAAGTGAATAAATTTTAAATAATAATAATCGTAATAATAAAGGTGAAAAAGTTAAAAAAAAAGAAAGAAGAATGTTTTCAAACTTCCTGCTGTAGAACTAATGAGAGGAACGTTTGCTTATTATAAAGTAGATAGAGATACAACTATAGGTAGAGTTGAAATTCATGAGATTATTACAATGGTGACCCTAGTTTTAAGGATATCTACAGATAAGACATAGATCCACCAAAGACCTGCAAAGACGGCTTAGTGGCTTAATACACTTGTTGCTTTTGCAGAAGGACTAGGTTTGGTTCCCAATATCCACTTGGCAGCTAAAAGCCTTATGTATCTTCTCATCAAGACAATGCGACAGCCTTTTCAGCTCCTCAAGTCACTACACACACAAGGTGCAATGCAGGCACACCACCACACAAACGCATACAATAGAAGTAACAAATACTTTTTAAAAATCTGCTCAGTGATACTCAAGCCATGATTACTAGAAGAGCATCTGCAACCACTAATTTACTAAATCAACACAATTCCTAACAACTGTATATAAACATCTATAACGATACCCTCAAATAAATATTGTTTTCACCCCTCATAAAGGGAATACAGCAGACACAGAGCACACTACAGAAATCCACAACTGATCAAAAGGCAGACTTGTGGAGCCCTGTCCCAATGGCTACATCCACAGAACAAGTGTGTACCTAACGCTGGGGGAACACTGTTGGATTGGGGCCAGAAAGATTGTAAGAGCCAGAGGATGAGGAAGTTTGCAGTGAAATTGTGTCTCCTAGTTATTTCAGAATCTATACCCCCCAAAATTTTCACAAACATGACTTCTTGGATGTGAACCAGGCAAGGATGACACCACTGAACATGCCAAAATGGATGGAGAAAAGCCCACAAGACCTCAACCCCGAACATGTAACTGTGAACAACTGAGAGTATCAGGGAGCAAGAGAGGAAGTCTTTACCAGGGAAATAAACAGGAATTATTTTCCAGAGTCAAATGATCAGCTCTGAAAATATGCACACAAGTAACGTTATATCTACTGAACAGGATATATTTAGGAATATAAGGAATTGAGGGATGGTTGTAGGTTTTTTTTTTTTTTCATATTATTGGGATTCATCATGTCATTCTATTTCTGCTTTTCTCTGGAATCCAGCAATTGTCAGCAACCTCTAATGTGCAGTGTTTTCCCCAAATATATAAAAGCAATAGAAGCCCTTAAAAGGGAAATTCTTTCTTCACCATCATCTACAAATACTGTTATTTACATATAAGTCCATAATTTTTTTTAATGTAGAATTCACTCAAAGAAAAATTGTTCTCAGTGTTCTAGTTCTCCTTAGGAACCTTGATGGCTCCATTTTTTTCTCACTTGGATTTTTAAGGTAACAGTCATCCTATGTCATTTCTATTGCCCTCACCAATATTCTGACAAAAAAAAAATAAAGAATGTGGAGAGGGAAAGGGTTTATTTGGCTTACAATTCTGAGTTGTACTCAATCATTTTAGGGAAGTCAAAGCAGGAAGTAAGGTGTCTAACCATACATGTCCACAGTCAAGAGTTGGCATCTTTGCTTGCTTACTCCCAACTAGGTTTGTCCTTTCTCATTGTAGAGTGACCCCTATCTAGAGAATGAGCAGCCTCAAATAGACTGGACTTCCACAGCAGACCTTCCTACTGGCAACCTTGATCTAGAACACTCCTTATTAAGACTCTCTTCTGAGATGAGGTTCTCTTGTTTCAGGTTCACAGTTAAACAGAGCTAAGTCCCACAACAAAGAGTGCTACAGATCAGAAAAGGAAGGAGGTGGATTCCAAGGAAATAAAAATCTAACTGGTGAGTCTCTTTCTGGTTATTGGTGGACATTTAAAAGATGGTTGTCAAACTACTAGAGATAATGAGAAGATTTAAGCATAGATTTAAAAAAACAAGTACAGAATGAACCTAAGAATTAGCTAATAAGAATAAGATCCTAAAAAAAAAAAAAAAAAAAAAAAAAAAAAAAAAAAAAAAAAAAAAAAACAGAGTTGTACACAATAGAAAATATTATAGGAAATGACTGCTTGGATCCATTGTGAAAGTTATTTACATAATAACATATGTAATATAATATGTTATATTATTATATAATATATATATTATTATATAATAATATAACATAATAACGGTAATGCTGAATGTAAGTTTGATGTAATTATAATTGAAGATAAATATAAGATCAGGTAAGGCAGGAGTGTAAGCTAAAATCCATACCTAATTAACAAGACTTATATCAGGTTTAAGTAAAAGAGAAAAATGCTAAAAAAAAGCTCAAAGGGTTGAAAGTAAGAATTTACAGAAAATGATACAGAGAAAAATTAGGTAAGAAGTTGGATGAGGTTTGTCTTTGTGTTTCTCTCTCTCTCTCTCTCTCTGTAAGCTTCTTGAAATTATTTTCTGTTGGAAATTTATGTTTATGCAATAATTAATTGAAAGATGATAAGTCATTCTGCCCCTGATCTCTTGGTCCACACACAAGCCAGGTTTTCTCCCTGAGCACAGGTACCCATCATTCTTGAGAACCGAGTTAACCTCACCTACCTACTATCTTTTGGTATTCTTTGCCATGCTATTGACCAAAAGGCTGATTTTGAATGCTGATTCCATCATATTATTCCTTAAATTAAATCTATTTATTTATTTTCTGCTATCTTCAAGGTAAAATATCAGCCACGAAACTCTTCCTTTCTTGACCTAATACATCTGTAGTTCTGTATGTTGAAGTATATAACATTCCTTCCAAATTTGTACCTTTTCTCGGTTTATGAAAAGAAGTTTATAGGCAAATAAGATGTTAAAGTTATAATCAAGTTAAAATGAAACAAAGCAGCATTTGAGTAGAGCCTAAATTGAATGCTGGCATCCTCACGGAGAGAACCGGAAGCATAGACACAGAGTAGCAAAAGCTGTTGTGAGTAAATGTTGTCCTTTGGCTCACTTTCACATGCTTTTATTTGTCAGATTATTAATAACTACCTTATAATTACTAAGAATTAAGTGGTGCAATAATTTAGTTACTGTGTATAATGCCTAGAGTGGAGTATACACTCATTAAATAGCTACTTTGTATCAGGGATTACAAACTGTCCACACTACTCAGATCCAAGTAGGAGCTGCTCAGATCAGCTGCACACAGTTCACGTAGGAGTCAGTGTATGCAGATTTGGAATTGCATTTTTGACTCAGTGATTCATGTGAGTGATTCAATTTTTAACAGCAGGCTGTGTTACCAAAAATAAAATTTGAATTTACAAGTCATAGAAATAGCTTTTCCTCTGTGTTATTTGGAGATCAGAAAAAGAAAGCTTTTTTTCTTTAGTTCCTAAAAGCTATTATATAAAATGAAAAATAGCATGAAATTCCAAGGACCCCCCTAAACTGAAGTTTACATATAACTGGATTTTTATTATAATAAACAAATAGAGTTCTATAGTAATATAATGTGGTCAAGTGAAAAACATAATTCTTATCTCAGATAATATAAGTGAGAAGTTAGATTCATTTATTTGATTTATTTGCAAATGTGAGTTCTTTTTTCCTGTGACATCAGAAAGATAAAGAGCTTTATTGACAAAATAAATTTAATTAAAATACTTTACTGAAAATTTTAGCTCTTTGCATACCCATGCAGGGAATATATTATCCATATATGGTTAATATATTTTTAATTAAAAAGTAAAGAACAAAGAAACAATTTAAAATTGCTTTTTGAGTAATTTCATTATGTTTAGCTCCATCTAATTTTAGATCAAAGTTAATGTAAAGAGCAGCTAAAATGAAACATCAAAGTTTCTTGACAAAGTAGTTACAAAAATATATTCAGAAACCATGGACTAAATGTAATTATGTAA